GTCTGAACAGAAAATATGTACAGCTGTCAACCAATGGCTTGCTGCTGCATTGCTACAAGGGCTTTTAATTATTCATAATTATAAAGTATTTCCTCTGATATTAAATTTCAAAGCTAGAGACCAAATTTTTCATTCATCAGAATTTTCCAATCAGAGTAGTTTATTTTGCATTCTGTCTATAATGTATAACTACAGATTTGCAGATTCTCAGTGTTTCATCATTATTTAACAATATTTCATGAGCCAATGTTGCAGTAATATCATAAAACATCCATCAGGTGTACATCAGGGTTTTGTTTTTAAATAAATTTGGCAATCTACATTAGTGTGGATTTCAATTCCCAACATTTCTTAGTCAGTTCTGGTATCTAAAGTCCATAAAAATTGAAAAAAACACTAACATACATAATTCTAAATTACAGAAAATATGTAGGTTGCAGCAGAGAATTTGGGAGTTCTGAGTTAAGGATATACTTTAACTGAAACTGAACATTCAGAAAAAGGGCCTATTCCACAGCACAAAAGAAACAAATCCGTACCAGGATACGGATCCTAAAGCAAAACTTCAGTAAACCACACTTCATTTTTCTTATATTTTAGAGTTTGTTGTGTGGGCCCCTTCTTTCTCATTTTTTCTCCCGTGGGTACTAGGGTAGACAGCATTTGAAATGATGCCATTATTATTATCATATTTCATTCTGTGCCATTTTTCCATCAGTTTAATTTCTGAATTGACAGCTTATTAACAGATACACCCATTTTTGGATACTTGTTTTAGGTTAATTGGTTCTAATCCCAAGTCTGAACTGTTGCTGAAATCCAATTTTGATAATCAGCTGCAGATGATGAAAATATACCAGAACTTGGTATACATGTCATGCATTTTTCTTCAATCACTACATTACATCAAGACTGGGTGGAAGTACTAAGAACTTCTTTTAATTTACATCATAGGCATTCATTTATGTAAGTTGAAGTCAGTAAGATTTGTCAAGGCACAGAAACAAGAACTAAGTTTATTTCCTAAATTAAATATGTTTAATTTGTTCTGTGAATCTAGCAATTGTGAGTTATGTGACAAACCATTGTTAACTGAATCATGGCCTAGAAAATTGTGTCAAACAGTCTGTGAGCAGACCCCTATATGTCAAACATAATTGTCACTTGACTGTCACTATTTATAGTTTCATGAAAGGTTCCTCCACACTAAGTCATAGCATTTGAATCTGGATCTCCTGTGTAGAAAAATGGGTTGTGTGCCCATCTTTCTTATATGTATTCCTTTATGATGAATCCCACCAACTAGTTTGCCTCTTTTCCAAATATTCTGTTTTTGATTAATAATCTAGGATGCCCGAAAGAAAGTGACAACAAAGCAATCAATGTTAAGATTTGTTAAAGCTGCTAAGACATTGTGGTTGTACTTATATGATTGTCCAGCCAATTTCTATCCTGGGGAAAATATCTTTGTCTAGCATTGGTCCAGGACCATAGAATCTCCAATCAAGCAGAAAAAAGTTGTCTCTGCTACCCACTAGCTGCTGAAAATATTTGTAGAAGGCCACTACTTCCTGCCACATTAAAAACAAAAATCTTGAAAAGAAAATATGCATGGTACTCACATCAGTGTTACTACATTGCAGCATAAAACAGTGATCAGCTACTTGGGTTTGCTTATTTTGCATTACGTTTCTCATAGCCTGCTAGGCTGTTCTTAAATTTCAACACATTTCCTAATATACTATAGTTTCAAAAATCTTTCCGAGGGTTCAACACCAAAAGTGTAGAATAAGAGTGTGATGGGGGGCGGGGGAGAGATCTAGTTTGCACTGTTCAGCATTGTGTGTTGAAGCCCTCAAGAACTGTTACCAACTTAACATTACATCTGACAGTGCTTTGGATGCTGAACTCTGCTGTTTTTCTCTTGATACTGAAACCTCAGGCACTGTGACTGTTCTGTGAAATCAATTATGAGACTATTTTTAGTCATTGCTAGAAGAAACAGGATTGCTACCAAATGAAACAAGATAAGTTTTTAGGAGGTGATGTTATTTGCTAATCAACATGCTACACACTGACAGTAGTTAAGGCACTAGGCTGAAAACCTGGAGACAGTGAGTTCAAAGCCTGCCTTAGCCAGCTGGATGGCTTTGGGCCAGTCATTGTCCCTCAGGCCAGCCACCATACAGGTTGTTATTATGGGGAAAATAAGAGAAGGAAGGAATATTATATATGTTCACTGCCTTGAATTATTTGTAAAAATAATAAAGATGGGATACAAACAAACACCAAGGAGGCAAAACTGCCTCCTTGCCATTGTATGTCATCACATCACTCAAGTAACAAAAATTACATGCCATATATTGTTGTTGAGTTATGACACATGGCACATCAATGAATGTTACTACCAGATACAATTTTTTAGATATTCTATAGCTGTAAATTCTAAGTATTTCCAATTCTGGCACGAATTCTGGCCAGGTGCACGTTATGTTCAGCCTGTCTAATGAAAATAAATCAGGAATTTTGAAAATAGTCTGTAAAAGAAAGGAAGGTGACAGAAGAAATATGAAATACCTTTTTTTATAATCCCATCTTTTTTTGTACCTAGCTGACATTATTTATTAGAATTAGAATAACTCTGTCCGGCACCATTTAATCCTAGTGCATAGATTGTCTAATAGGTTCATTTCCCTTATAATTATATTTGGGAAAGATAATCCTGAGACTGTTAAAACTTTAATTACCCCGAAACGTTATAAATCTCCCATCAGGCCTTGCAAAGGAGAATGGACTAACACAACCTTTGTGACTATTCTGAGAAATCTTTTGGAGTAAAAAATAAAACTCTCCACTAAAAATAATAACAAAAAAATCTAACTATGTATTTGAGGAAGGTCCCTCTAAAATATGTAAAATGAAATTCATTTAGAGGCTGAATGTGTCAGATCTGAAACTATTGCTCATGCAAAAAAATAGTACTGAACCTACAATGTTAACGAATGATAAACTCTTAGTAATTTAGAATAGTGTGACTAGGACATTGGGAAACAACTCTTTTTTCCCCCTCATAAAATACAAATATGACAATTTAAGAAAGAAGTTATGTTTTTATTACAAAATATGTTTCTGAAGCTCTCCATATGAAGCTGTGGATGATCAAAGTGATGTGAGTGTATATAATTTACCTTTTAAAGAGCAATGTTCTTTCTCACTTGGTTGCCATTTTAGTTGTATCAAAGCAAGTCAAGAAGCAGCAAAATTTTAAGAGTTCAATTTAAAAATAAAATACTTTCATTTCCCTTTACTACTTAAAAGGAATTAAATGTGTTTTTGTTCAGATGTGTAACAATAATACATATTATGCAAATGAAGTTTCAAAACCTATTTTAAAATTTATTTAATATATTTTGTCACTAATTACATTATATCAGGATTATGGCTAAGAGGAAATACTCCAAATCCTGAGATATCGTGGTGATATAACATTGGGTCTGTTGAGCCCTGCAAGGCTGGTGAATTCAGGAAACAAGAGCCACTTGCACTTCTGGAAAGATATTTATTGTTAATAGAGTAAGGAATTTGAAAACCTGATAAAACAAGTTTGGGCCTAGCATAATTAAAGCAGGGTACTTGGGTCTCTTTTTTCTTATTTCTCTCTTCCCCTGGTTTCTTACAGCAATCCCATTTTCCTGCCTTCCAGACATTCCATCCGAGAGCCAGATACTGATGTTGAACAGATATTCAAATGCTACCTTTTCAATAAAGATCTGTAGAAATTGATTTCAAGAAGACGTTGTGGCAGTGCCTGGATGTGATATACTTGTACATTTGTTTGCAGATAAATTTTTCTTTTCTTTTCTTTTCTTTTCTTTTCTTTTCTTTTCTTTTCTTTTCTTTTCTTTTCTTTTCTATTTTTTCTTTCTTTCTTTCTTTCTTTCTTTCTTTCTTTTTCTTTCTTTTTTTCTTTCTTTCTGTGTACTCTCTCATTCTTTCTTCCCTTTCTCTCTTTCTCTTTTTCTCTTTTTCTTCATCTTTGTCTCTTTCTCTTTCTTCTTATCTCTTTCTCTATAATTCTATCTCCCTGAAAAAATATTTAGGAAAAAATGTTTATATATTCTTGCTATCTAATAATAACTCATAAAGGTGAATAGTTAAAGTCCTTCTTTTCACCTTGCAGGAAGTCATTGGTTTGTACAATCTACACCTCTACATTCAGCTTTTGTCTTTGTTCCTTTTTCTCTACCCAAGTTAATAATAAGATTCCTTCTGTTTTTCTGTAGATACATATAGTCAGTGAGCAAGACAATCTCTTTTTTATGTAGCATATCAAAGAATGTGCAATTTTACCTTTTATTTGGCTATTTCTTTTGAGTGCTTTTTAAAGGGTTCATAATGCCTTTCAGCAATAATAGTATTTTCCTGATGGCTGAAAAAAGTATAATTCAGCTCTTTACTGGGAAAAGTATGGGGTTGACTGCCAAATAGTTTATCCTGACAGAGACAAGGATGAATTCCAAGTTAAACAGAGCAATAGTACTTTTGTTTCTAGCAAGCGACTTGAATTTAAAATGTGGCTAAGCATAAGAAAGTAATGGGAATGAATCAGCACATAGCTCATGGAAACAACTGAAATTAAAACACACCATTTGGCATCAAATTCATTTGGAAGATAATTGCATATAGTTATTCAGGACCGTTAAAAGAAATCTGGATATGTTTCTCTGCATAAAGAGTAGGTAAATGTAGCAACGTAGTATGATTCAATATTACCTGCATAATGCATACTATTTACCAGGTCTCCTCATCAGGAAATAATCAGACTAATAATGAACATTTTGAGCAGACAAATCCATCTGGTTATATTTTTAGCTTCACCATACCAACCTGTACATAGCAACTGCTGTGTGAAAGGATAATGGAAATGGAACCTCGACTACAAAAAGAAATACAAAACAATTATAGAAGTTAACTCTTTTTTTATGTTTTTGTCTCCTCAGCAGGAGAAACCTAAACTTTTGGAACCTTTGGATTATGAAACAGTAATTGCAGATATTGAGAAGAATGTTGAAAATGATCGTCTGAAAGACCTCTTTTTGTTCCCTGAAGATGATTTTTCAGTGAGTGATTGATGTTTACTAATAAAGCTAAGTCTCATCTCAAACTTTGTCAAGAAGTTCCAGTTTTTATGCCTTGCAACATATGAGCCAATATTGTGCTCAGCTTAGTTTCATTTTTTTTAAAATTCAAGACACCTGGCTTGATGTAAAAAGAGGATTGATTTGGCCAAATCAAACACAAACACAATAATTTCTTGAAATGTGCTTTTGACCTTTAGATTCAACAATACTGAAATAGGTATGAAACTGTAGAAAACTAAGAAGTTTTCAAGGTCGATGTTAATCCATCAGAATAGGCCAAATCATGAAATAGATTCCACAAGTTTGGCTGGAATCCACTGTATTGCCATAGGCTACAGTAACAGATTCTAGAAAGCCTTCTCAAATTTTCCCCTCCCTCCCTCTATACCATGGGTGTCCAACCTTAGCAACTTTAAGACTTCTGGATTTCAACTCCCAGAATTATCTAGGCAGCAGGTTAGACACTACTGCTTCTATACTCTAATGAATTAAAGAGAAGTCAGTCTTATTTCTCATGTTGGTAACTTAGTTGGTAACTTAGTAACTTGGTAACTTAGGGAAACAATTTCTTGACTATACTAAGCTCAGGGGTGGGATTCAATTTTTTTAACAACCAGTTCTGTGGGCATGGCTTAGTTGGTGGGTGTGACTTGCTGGTCATGTGACTGGGTGGGCATGGCCAACTCAACGTCACTCACATCAAGGGGCACTTCTCCTCGCCTGGCCTCTCATGACAGTGGAGATACTGCAACAGTCGTAAGTGTGAAAAATGATCATCAGTCACTTTTTTCCAGTGCCATTGTAATTTTGAATGTCACCAATTTTAGGCAAAAACTCAAAAAGGGTATGTAAACTCATGTTCGAATGTCAATCTTACTAGCTAGCCAAGAAGCCTTGCTGAATGTTACTCATCTTGGTTCCTTGTCTGCTTCATTATTCAATTATTTCTTCAAAGTGCTAACTCCAACAGCAATGTAAAAAGCTTAAAACAACCCTTCCCCTGTAAGAAAGTACCAGCAAAGAAAAAGAACCACCTTTGGAGACAATAAGTCTAGGCATACTGCCAAGAATGCAAGAAGGGTGGAAAAAAACAAAAGGAGATTTCTTCCAACAACCGGTTGTCCGAACTGCTTAGAAAGTTAACAACCGGTTCTAGCGAATAGGTGAGAACTTGTAGAATCCCACCCCTGACTAAGCTTATTAGGTTCAGTCCTCATAACTCCTAAGGTTAATGGGAATAATGCTTCATAGATTCTTTTACATTCTATAACATTCTTCAGCTATCTTTTATTCCAATGGAGATTATGAATGGTAAAATATCATTCTTTCTAAACGTATGAAATGTACACTGGTACAGTATATGCAGAATCCTCAGTTCATAATACAACACCTAGATTGTTTTTTTAAAAAAATCCTGTGCTGCTGACATCACAGTTTAACTGCCATTGTATTTATCACAAGAAAACTTATCAACAATTGCACATTGTTGTGAAATAAAGGACACAGAAGACAGGAGATGATATTTTTCAGTCATAACTCCACTTATCCATTATAGAATAGTGTCTTGTTAGATATAAGATTAATCCTTATCAAAGCAATACAAAGGGATTAAAAATATTAGTTTAAATGTTAAAGCATTTTTGTGATTATTGATTGGTTTATGGTACTTTTTTTAGATGTTACAGTATACCATCATGGATTTTTACTTACTTATATTTTAGATTTTAATCACATTTAAGGATCCATAAAATAATATTTGTCATAAATACTAATACAAAATACCAATGTCAACCCTGAAGCTGACGTGACCAAGGCCATTTTGAGGCTTCAGTGTTGCCACACTGGAGCTGAGGCAGAGCGAAGGGGGAATAGAGATAGTTAGGGTTTGTAGCCAAAACAAAATACTTTGTCCTGGGAACCAAGGACATTCCCATAGTTGCAGAAGAGGGGAAGAGTAAAATCATCAGGCAACCAGACAGGCCCTTGATTTGACCATGTGACTGATTGTTTGGGAAAGGGGAGAAACTTTTAATTAGGTGAAAACCTTGGGAATATTCAGAATAGGTTTTCACCGGCCTGTGTCAATATCATATGCCAAATAAAACTATTATTTGAAGAAACATTTTGTCTTGGAGTTCTGTTTGCTATGGGTGCATTACTTGGAACCCTGACAATTTTGTGGATCTTTTAACTGAGTTTCTATAAGCCACCATGCATCTGTTTGGATCTGACAACATATATATCTAATATAAATAAATAAATAAAATTCTTGCACCAACTTATTCCAGGTGTCTCTCCACAGTAACATTACTTAAAATAACATTATTTTATGAACAATTCTGTATGAAGAGAATGCTTCTGCTAAATTCTAAGAAGAGAAACTTCTTGAAGCTCGAAAATTTCTATGAAATTCTTCACAGAAATATTCATTATTCAAATTTTTGTAACATTTGAGATTTGTATTTAATATTTGCACATTTTGAGTAATATTGCATGAATCAGAATATTGGATATTTTTAAAAATAGCATTTTTTCATGTACTTTTATGGATTATAGGTTATTTAAGCAGGAATTTAATAATTGTTGTATCTAATCTTTTCATTAAAAATTGGACCTTAGCCCCTGTTTATTTTTTTACTGTGGTGCTGCAAATTTGGCAAATAGTTTGTACCTGGCTTCTCCAATACTTGTGGTTAACACTTTCCCTTATTGCCAATATTCAGCTTAGCATTAGCATTGGTAAGAATAATTATGTAAGAAAAAGAACAACAGAAAACATTTCCATCAGCTCCTTGGTGGTTTCCAGATTCTGCCCCATGTAACTGCACCCTTGCTCCAAAGCACCTTTACAGTGAATACTTAATTATAATAATTCCTGAATACAAGTAATACCAATAAAATAATTCTTGAATTATATACAATGTCACACGCTTTTCTCTTTATTGGTAATGCCATTTTGGAAGAAAACTAATTTAGCCATTACTTTGACTGTCATCCCCATGATTTTATTTCAGCAGTTTTTCATTGGTAAAGGTTAATCTTCATATGAGCAGAAGTGTTTTAGCAACTGGTGAGCTAAACTGATGGTGTCAAGCATGTTTCCACCAACCCATTTTCATATCAGCAAAGGAAGAAAATTTTAAAATGAGCATGTGGGATTTTCTTGCCTTTTCATGTTTTGTTATTCTTGAGAAAACATCTTCTAAAACAGTTTTTTCCATTCCTGGATTGTGTTTAGCATTAGAGCTATGAAAAGAGAATAATATGTATAATAAGCTTTGCATTTAATGAGGTAGACAAAGATGGTTTGCAACAATCTCTTAATATAAATGCATCAACCATTGGACTTGCAAAACAAAAATGAAATATAGTGATGCATTAGGGAACACACAGGACAGAGAGCAAACTGTGTAATTCACTTTATTGTAACAGATGCCACAACACGCTGAAACTATAACAGTTTTTCAATTTCCTCCTCAGATTTTACAATCAAAGGTAGCATTTTTCCTGGCAGATCCAAAAGTTTAAAATAAATAAATTGTACATCTTGCTTTCCTGAAGATTATAATAATCTCTTTCAAATTGTATGTGTAGACATATACACATGTGCATGTGTATAAATCTCAGTTTATATAGAATTATGTACACAGTTTGATATTATGAAAATGGTTTGCAGAACTGCCTCTTAATTGTAACAGATTTGCTATTAACAATATTTTACTGTTACTATGAATAAATAGTAAGTGAAATGTATTTAAAGTAATTCCATTACAGGTTCAACTTCAGCAGGAAGTTAAAAAAAACAGCAGTTGTTTCCAGGGTTATTGAATTCATTTTTCCATGAAATTTATGCATTGACAGTTAAAAAGAAAGCTTCATTTTCCAGCTAAGCTAATTTGAGGCTATTAACCCATCTAATATACTCTGTCAAAAACTGAAGCAGCCTGTTTGTGCTTCTTTTGATAAAAGTTACCCATCTATGAAAGGTATCTTTTCAGAAACATAAAAATGCCCTGGATGCTTGACTAGGTTTATGAGCAGGAATAAAAAGGAATCAATATTACCAAAACTCTCTTATATGCAACTGATAATGCTGAAATTTTGTTAAAAAATATATCAAGCATTAATATTCTTAAAATATTTATATCTTGCCATTTTTCAATTTAAAGCAATGTACTATAATAATGTTGGTTTTATATATTTCAGTAAGATAATATAAATTAGAAAAATGACAGGTTTTACTATACTACCGTGTTTCTCCAACAACACAGCCTCCATCAATAGGAAGGCCCAGCATGATTTCTAGGCATGAGGTGAAATTAAGCCACACCCCCAAAATTTAGGCCTATTTAAACCATGTGTTTTCCCGCCATTTCTCACATCGTTCGTTAGAACTACACGAGGTGAAGAGAAATGGGGGGAAGGGTGGGTGGTGGGTGGGGAGAAAACTTGCCTTTAGGAGTGCCCTGCAGGTAGTCTAGGCTAGAATACCCTGATCTACTACCGATAGAACAGCAGCTGATAGAAGCTCCACAAAGGCAGAGTCACCAGCCGCTTCGATCAGCCAGTAGAAGAGGCCTCGGGGCGAGCGCCCACACACAATCCCCTCTCCACGAGGCCATTTTTATTGGCCAACAAAAGCTCCCCAAAGGCAGAGTCCCCAGCCGCTTCGGGGTGAGGCATGGCTGCCCATGTCCCCTCACCATTTGGCAGTGTCTTTCGAGCAATGGAAGCTTCCCAAGGGCAGTCACCAGCCACTTTGATCGGCCAGTAGAAGTGGCCTCGGGGTGAGTGCCCACGCACCCCTCACCGCAAGGCCACTTCTATCAGCTGATGAAGGCAGAGTCCCCAGCCGCTTTGGGTCAAGGCGTGGCTACCCGTGTCCCCTCCCCATTAGGCAGTGTCTTTTGGGTGATGGAAGCTCCCCAAGGGCAGTCACCAGCCACTTCGATCGGCCGATAGAAGCGGTCTCGCGGTGAGGGGTATGTACATGGGCGCTTGCCCCAAGGCTGCTTCTACTGGCCGATCGAAGTGGCTGGTGGCTGCCTTTGGGGAGCTTCCATTGCCCAAAAAACACTGCTTAATGGTGAGTGGACACGGGCAGCCATGCCTTGCCCTGAAGCAGCTGGGGACTCTGCCTTCAGGGAGCTTTTGTCAGCCGATAGAAATTGCCTCGTGGAGTGGTACGTGCACATGGGCCGCTCTAGGTGGGGGAGGAAATTAAGTTACCCCCGAAAAGATGGCCTAGCCATTTTGGGGGGAGGGGTCAAAAAAAAAATAAGGCCCAGCCTTATTTTTTGAGAAACAGGGTATTTCTAAAAAGGCTTGTCTATCAGTGGAGGGAAAAAAGCTTTCTCTCCGCCCATGAAATTAAGGTTTGTTCTTATGCTCATACACAGTAATGCTCTATCTATGCATTACTGTGGTTCTATTTAGGATTTATATGAGATGGTACACTTCCAAATGCTGTATAATATTCTGTCTGTTGGTTACATTATTTTTACATTTTTGTCTTCAGGGAAAGGCATTGTGAGTATTGCAAAACTCACTCATTTCTAATAATCTCCCTCCCTCCAAAATAGATGCAGAATTATTTCTTATGCATTATTCCAATATAGATCCTTTCTTTCTGGCCATAGAACATTCATGAAAATGAGATGACAATTGATGCATGATTTATTTGTGATGGTTGAAAATATACTTTGCATGCAAATTCCTTAGTAAGATATCTAATGATACTGTAATAATTTAGATAAACTTAGCCCTTAATTACCCTATTTGATTATTTATGTTATTTCTTATTCTTTGATGCTCAGGTATGAACTTTTTTTTCTCTTTGTTGACTTCTCATTAGATAGCCACAATTCCCTGGGAAATAAGAACACTGTACTCATCAGTTCCTCAAGATGCAGAACAAAAGGCAGAATATTTATTTGTTAAAGAGGTAAAGTTATCATTCTTTACTCTACTTAATCTTGAATATACATTTTGTCAGGATATTTATTTTTTAAAAATAATATAGTGTAACTTTCAACATCATGATCATTTTTTTCTCTTTTTTTTCTCTTTTGTTTTTCTGCCTTAGACATTAACGCTATGTTGTATCTGATACTTGTAATTCTTCCTAGATGCATATTTGACACATGCTTGTGTCAGCACCCTGCTGTTCTTGGTTAGATACTTGTATTGTTAGTGTTTGGTTTGTCTTTAGACATGAGATTATATCAGACCATTGATGATGGTTATTTTTAAAAATATTTAGTTGGGTATAATGAATCAGTTTGTAAGGTTACTTTGCACAATGTTTACTTCTTAATTGGGATTGGATTTGAATTATTTGAAGAGAGAGATTAGCGGGAATATTTGGTGGACTGTACTAGACTGGTTGCATAGGAAGAGGGTACATTCCATAGCAGTAAGTGACAGCTCAGTTCAGATAGTTTGCCTGAGAAAGAGGGTGAAGACAGGCCCTCCCTAACAGTTCTCTGAGTATAGGCTTATGAAGATAGCAGAGGGCTTTAGTTAGGCAAGATTCCATCTATAGGTGTAGAAACAATAAAGAGCTTGGAAGAATCATCACATGTTTTTCTTGATTCTGGGGTCTTGAAAGAATCTGCTTATAAGGAAATGGAGATATAAATATTTAGCTCCTTATATCTCTTAACTTTAACTGGATTTTTGCTGATTAATAGGGAGAATTGAGGTTTTAGATATGGGTTCATTTAAAAAAGGATGAAATCAAGAATGAAGAAGTATTTAGATGTATTTTAAGAGACAACAATAAATGCTAATGTTTCTGGAGATAAAGGGGAAAGTTTCTTTTAATTTTTTTTATACATGGGATGTTTTCTCTACACTAACGCAGAGTTCCCAACCTTTCCAGTTTTGCGGACCTGTCCTATGCTGTATGGGAAAAAAATTAAAAATTGCAAGATAAATTAACAGGAACTCAAATTTTAGCCATTTCCTTTTTTTTGGTTCTAATTATTGGGGGGGGGGGTTATGTTTTGCAGACTGTGATAATTACCCTTACAACTATCAGATTTTTTAATACTGCTAATTTTTATACTGTTATAAAAATTTAGAAAATAAACATGAGACAGTAGATGGGGTACTCTTAGATCAGGGGTTGCCAACCTTTTGAACCTCAGGGACCACCAAACTAATAATTTTAAATCCCGAGGACCACTAATATGAATTTTGACGGACAGTGGCTTGCTGACATTGGTTATAAAAGAAAGAGAGGGGGGAGAGAGAGGTTAGATCAGATAACTCTCTCTCTCATACACACACATACACATACACAAACACACAGAGGCAGGGGTGGGATTCAAATTTCTTAACAACTGCTTCTGTGGGCATGGTCTAATTTGTGGGTGTGACATAGTGGTCATGTGACTGGCTTGTATATAAATATTATAAATATTGATGTAAATATTGATTTTTTTAATAAAAAATAGCAACTTTTACCCAAAATCAGGCAAAGCAGGCAAGCAGATTGAGTTGCTCACAGAATCACAGATTCACTCAGAGATCTATCTTTCTGCCATTGGCTACCTGGGTCTGTCACATAAAATTTGCTTGCAAGCAAACCCATAAAATTTACTAGCAAGCAAACTCACAAAATTAACTCACAACACACCATGTATGTAAATATTGAATTTTTTATATAAAAAAGAACAACTTTTACCCAAAATCAGGCAAAGCAGGCAGGCAGATTGAGTTGCTCACAGAATCACTTAGAGATCTGTCTAACTGAAATCCGCTAGGTGAGTCTGCACTGAAAATAGAAGCTTCAGTCCTAAGAAAGATTCAGCTCTGCTTTTAGATTAGCTAGAAAGCAAGAAATCCAGTGGTTTCCTGCTTTCTAGCTAATCTAAATCTCCCAGCACAGCAGAACAGCTGATGGTTGGTGGGGGGGAAGGAAAAATAGCAACTTAGCAGGCAAGTTTGCCAGGTAAGGAGTGAGTAGGCAGGGAGGGTTCCCACAGGCCATGTGAGCAGCGCAGCCTTGTTCCCACGCAGCCTGGATTAATTGCTTTGGGGAGTGCTCTGGGGATGACATTTCTTGGCAGACCACCAAAATTTTCTCATGGACCACCAGTGGGCCACGGCGACCACTGTTGTAGATGATTAATATCATGCATCCTTGATATATGAACTCCCATGCAAGCTTCCATAATGCAGTCTTTTATGTTTAAGTAATATATACAACTCTTATCTTTCAAATTGTGGAGCAATTTTCATGGAACACTTAGAACTTATTTTGATAACAACATAAATATAGCCTCCTTCGAACCGAGGAAGTATTCTTTGCACTTACACAGGACAATCATATTTATGCTTGAATAATAAAATTAGTTTAAATTAATCAAAGGTTATTAATAAAACTAAGAGTTAAATTAATGATTTTATTTATCAAGTGAAAATAAAGAATGGCCATCAATAAGAATATTTTAGTGTTCTGAATCAACAGGTAGAGCATTTTATGGAATAAAAAAATGTTCTCCAACAACACTCAAAAAAATGACTTACATCTGGTCCTTGCACTTATGACCATCACAGCATCCTCATGTTTATGATCAAAATTTGGATGCTTGACAATCTGTAAGCATTTATGATGGTTGCAGTGTCCCAGGGTCATAGGATCACCATTTGCGATCTTCCCAGCCAGCTTTTGACAAGCAAAGTCAATGGGGGGAGGGGATCTGGATTCACTTAACAACCACATGATTCACTTAGCAACGGCAGTGATTTCGTAAGAACTGTGGCAAAAAAGTCATAAAATTGAGTGCAACTCACTTTAACAACCACATTGCTTAGCAATGGAAATTGTGATCTCAACTGTGGTAGTAAATCAAGAACTAACTGTACAGGACAGTAACTGAGATAAATTGTTATATGAGTTGGAGAGAAACAATCTTACTATGCTTACTGTTGAGCTAGACCAGGAGTCCACCAATTCCTCAGCTCATGATGCCTTCATGAGCTTTCACATTATTCAGACATTTATTTTACGAAAATAAGTTAATAAATACTACTTTATGATTAGCAATATGAATAATACTAATAATAAAAGTTAATACATTGATCTGGTGGGAGAGGGTCAGTAATGACCAACTGAGAGAATTCTGAGCTAGACTATTACCATTCATGTGCTATTCACAGGCCAGATATGTTTCAGAAGCTTATAGGCTATATATTGCCTCCCGCTTTTTCTCTTATTGAAGCAAAAAGCATTTTTAGAATGTGCATATCTTAAAACAGTGATCTGACTTAACTCTATTGAGGAGTCTTCCAATGAACAGAATGTTGTGATTAGGACCCCAAATAAGAATTCAATAGAAGAGATTCACACATCATGACTTTTGTACACTTATGGAAGCTGTTTTCCTGGTTTTGCTGAATTCCTAATTTAGCAAGGGCTGACTTTGACAAAGTATCCTGTTTCTGGCTGTGATCTTCAGAGAAACAATTGGGAAACTTCAAAAACTAATGCTCAGCATAGTAGCAAGGACAATTCTGGCTTCACTGTCTTTCTTGGAGTAGAGATTCATTTCAGAGTAGAACTCAACGTGTTTTTTAACTGGAAAATATTGCAAACTGGCAAGGTTACAGTTCAACTGAACCTTTCCATAGAGCCAAAGGAGGTATGAGAGTCATGATGCAAATGGTAAATGCTGGAAAAGGGAATTATGATTTCAGTGAGAATTTGGTTAATGGAATTATGCCAGGATATAGTATTAAATTTTCTGCTTAAACTGTAAGGCCCATATTTCACATACCATCTCCAGGCCTGTATCTTTATACTGTAGCCAGGGCAATCCTATACCTCAGCACAAAATATTAGTTGTTCTCTTTCCTTTTATATGGTGGTCATAATTGCCTATAGTCAGAATGAGGATATTCTGAATTCCATCACTGTTCCCAGTGTGTTCTTCTAATAATAAAATAGTCCATTATTTTAATTATTCCATGTATCTTATTTCATGTATCTGAAGCAATGTATGTTGTGTGGCATTTCCCAGATAAGCTATATTTTCTTCTTTTATTTTATTCTGTCTGCTTTAATTTTCCTCCTATTTCTGAAACAGAATCCTTCTCCCATTTATAATAGAAATAGTATTAACATTTCTTGCCAAACATTCTGCATGAAGTCTACCTTGTGATCTCATAAAGAAAAGAATGAGCAAGGTCTTGTATGTTTGGTATGGAGGCTGTAGTCCCCCTTTTCAGATTCCAAGTAATCTCAAAAGGTGATGAGATACCTCAGCAAAAATACAGAAGTAATGCTCTAAAATATCCTGATTATGCAAGCCATGCAAATTAAAACTGAAATTAAATTAAAGTATTTAAATTAAATGGCATTGCACAAACAGCATTATGTTGTTTCAGAGTAGAAAGATTAATCTGGTCAGTGAAACCTTAGAAAAGCTAGAAGTCAGAGAGTAGAAACTCTGCAAAATTTAGTGAGAGCTTACTTTTAAATTGGTTTTGAAATATATTATTTTTAAGGTAGAGAAGGACACTTCCTGCCTTGGTTCATCACCATATCTCTGTGACGATGATGACTGAAAATCCCACATCCCTTCTTTTTCTGAATTAATCATGTTTTATGGGAGATACTTGAAATGTTATTGTAGTGATTTCTAATCTTTGAGGTTAACAAGTTGAAAGAGTTAGTGTTGTTTACAGTTCTCATTATTTCCATCAAATTTACCAAAAATGAAGAAACGGCTGATATTTCCCCATGATAGCCAATGGTTGAATCTTTTATTAAGTTGAATGTCACAAACTATCAATTTAAATGAAATTTTATTCTCTTTGGGTCTTGGATATTAAATGTTACATGTTTATTTCCACCTTTAAGTCTGGAATTTGAGCTGCTGCTTAATTAGCTTTATATCAAATTCTCCTTCAACTCCATTTGTTTAGCTTGTGAATTAAACACATTGAAATGAAGACATGATTTCATAAAAATAATATTTAGGGTTCTCTGCTATAGACTTTGTTTTCCGTTTGTATATAATGAATTTATTATACTTTTTCTGAAAAACATGCAATCTCTCCTTGCCTCAGTTTTTGCCCCTGAAAAACTGGTTGCATAAACCCAAGTGAGATGGAGCACACAAAAGGGAGGAGAAAGTAAAAAAGATATACCACATCAGCTTCATAGCTTCTAACCGCCAAATCTATCAACCATAGGACCCACACCAATCTTCTCTTGTCAGGGCGAGAAAAAACACATCCCAATGACTAAAAAGAGCTGACAGAGATATCAGTGAAGCACAGAGCTGCTTTTGTAGAGAACTAGAAATAGCCATGTGATAGCTTTAGTTCATCTGGGGGAAAAATCCCAGACAATACTAGATGGCAGATAGGAAATATTGTTTAGAGAAATATCTTGTTCTTTGTTGCCAAGCTGTCTTGGCAACATGATCTTTGCAATCTAGATCTGACAGCTACTGTGTGACTTCCTTGAACCTAGTCTGCTGCCTGCTCTTTCTTTCACATGGGCTTGGAGTGTGGCACCTGAGATTTTTCACAATTGTGGATAGACGGGTCGGAAGGTATCTAAGAGGCTTTGCTCAGATCCTGAAATGCTCTGTGTATGTTACTGTTCTGTGACTCTGTTGCAGGAAAATATTTGGAAATAAATGATATATGAGCCTCTAGGCCAAGTAAGGCAAAATAATTGAAATAATATCACACTTATTCTGGTTATATGTGATCACATGCTGTTAACAGAGCCAAATATGCCATTGTAACATGCTTTTCTTTTTGTATCCCTAACCCTTGGACGCCGAGGGTGACCCAATTTTGTCTAGAGAATCTGCGGGGGAACACAGCTGTTTTATATGAAAAAAATAATTAGTTTTATTTTCAGTTCTTGAATTGTGATTCTAGTATTTATCTGTAAGGTGTTTTTTTCTTTCCCAGGATCTCCTGGTTGATATATGCCATAAAAATATCAAAGGGAATTTCAGAACCAGGGGCCTTTTCCACCTAAGTCTTGGATAATGATTTGCATCAGCTTTATTCTTACTGTATTTTATAAATGTTGATAGGTGCTAAGTGGGATAAGCAATTTGTCTATTTCTACTTCTAGGATTTATAGCACTTCTAGTTTCTCGTTAAGTAGACTGGCAGGAACAGCTTTCCTGAGACATTTTTGTGTATATTATGGCAGAACAATCCAGCTCTATGAAATCGTTCATACCTTTTTTTAAGTTTAAGCAAGGCAGTTAATACTGTTTACGTGTTCTTTTTATTCTGCATACACAAGCTGTGCAACTTGTATGAATGCAAGTCCTTCTACTAGCGTGTAAGAACTGATACATTGTACGTGCCAATTTTGAATCTGTTTACAAATACACAAGCAGGCAAGGATATAATTGAGAATTAAGTTATTTTGATTCCCCACTTTTGCATAACTGTGCCATTGTCTCATATATAACACCAGCAGCAAACATATCAGCAATAGAGAAAGAGGGAGAAAATTGCCTATTTCTTTAATAATGTGCTTTTTGTCTATCGCCTACTAGAGAATGAATAAAATGTGGGTTCTGTTCTATTCCAGAACCAACTCATTGAATGAGATTTCTTACAGGCTTAGATAGTAGTACATGTTACTGATAATCAAATGTACATACGATGTAACCCAAACTTTTGACAAACTGAGAGAAAAGTGTTCTTGTTCTGCCAATCAGCATTGTAAGGGCTGGTCCTGTTGCATTTTATTAAATTCAGATTGCACTTCTTAGAAAGAAAATAAATGCCAGAAAACCAATATTGGATTTTTTTTTTACTTCTCATTAGTTTGTAATTGATCAGGCCACATTTATGATTAGATAACAGTATACATACTTAGCATACCACAAATTTTGGTCTCTTTGTCACCTAATTATTTAAGTATTATAGTATTTTTGTTTCATAACTTGCAAAAGAAAACATAAAAATTTCTTCTATAAATGAAGGTTGACAAATGTGATGGTTGTCATTATCAACATACTATATTCTCCATAGCATTTAGATACAAAATGTGTGACAGAAGCTCCGGTTTTCTTATCATGAGCAAGGCTGCTTTAGGGATTTGCAGTGAACCACAGATTTATATTTGATTGATGCTTCAATACATTGACATGAGATTTCAAGAGACTCAAAAAACCAATTCATACTCTGGAAAGCAAAACCTCTGGGGTGATGTAGAATTGAGTAATTTTTACGTGGGAGAAAATATGACAGTTAACTTACAACTGACTGCATTATAGGCACAGTACACATTATAAGGAAAACTGGAATGTTATTGTTGTTTTCAGTGAAATGATATGTAGAAATAATATGTAGTACTAGGTAAACAAAGACAATAAGCTTTCAAAAATATAAGAAAATGCTTGGAAGTTTTTTTTGATAAAACAAAACTGTGTTAGACATTAATGATTCTATGACTATTTTATCAAAATTTTATCTGGAAAACCTTTTTAAGCCATGTTGCTCAGTCACTTAATCTCATATGTACTTCCCAGGATTGAAACACAATTACTTTTTGGAATTGTTTTTATTTTGCATAATGTTACCATTCAGTTCTTAAGCCTATAAACTGCATAACAAAATACTTCTAGAGAAATGTTTATATTGGCAACAGATGCATATTAAGAGTAAACGTACATGTTTGTCACCTACATACAAACGACTATTTTTCCAACCAAACCTAATTGATTTTCCTTCTTATTCTAATATTTTCTTCTGTATTGTTTTAGGCATGTGAATATTACAGTTCCCAATGGCATACTGTAGACTACAAATACGAAGAGTATTCAGGAGATTTTAGACATCTACCACAGTAAGACACTATACTTTCTTACTTTTTTTCTTTTAAAATATTAAGTTTAAATATAATTGTCCTGGTCACACAAAATAATTGCCTCTATCTCTAATAAATTATGGCCCAGGGGGCTGGGAGTTTGACAAGCACTGATCTAGAAAGTAAAGGCTTTTCTTTAAAGCAAACTGTTTTTCACATGGAGAAAATATTGGCCTAGGACCAGCATAGACTTGAAAGTATTAAATATTTCCAATATTTAAAAATATTAATCACACCTTGTCTTGAATTTTGAACAAGAATAATACGAATTAGAATTGGGCAGTTGTATTATGATGGTAGTATAAATGAAATTTGAAACATTGTACTTGGGTGATTCAATTATTTCCATATCTGGAGGCAAGTTGTATTAGCCAATACACAGAAAGAAATATAGATTTGGAGCAGTCAGCTATGCTTAGAAGCATATTTTAATAGATAGGAAGCTTCTACTTTTCTAAAAATACATTTATGAGGAAGCAAGCAAATGATGTGGCTTGTTTGGAGACAAAAAGTCTGGCATAGATTTTAAGGACCCAATTCATGCATGATGTTTTATCCTGTAAGCTGAGAAGTAAAATCTAAGTATTTAGTTCACTTTGCATTCTATGACTCAGTCATGTGTTTAGCAACCAGCATAGAACTTCCATTAATAGCTGACTCTGGGCTTTTTTTTTTTTTAACAAACTTCATTTTTAAAAGGAAGAAACAACTCTTCATCCTATTTTTAGCATTAAAGGTGCTTGTAATTAAGGCTAAATAGAACTCAGTGTTTCTAATGTTTCTAACATAATTCAGAAATATTAGTGAGTTGGTCTTTTTGGTATCAGGAATTAGCCCTTCAATAATACATAAAATGGTCAACCATAATCCATACTGTCATGCTTTCAAAACATAAGAAAAAAACATGAACCATTTACCACTTTACAAGCAATGTGTTAAAACTACACATTAATTTGCATTTACTAAAATAAAAATGCAAATAATTGAGACTCCAAATCTGTTGATTTGTTATGTTGATGATACTTGGCAACTGGTATAATAATTAATTAAAGACACATGACTTTAGTGAGAATTATTTAATACATGTTTTTTGAAATATAGTTTAGTTAAATATTTAATCAAATGTCTCAACTGGAATTCAATAATAATTCTGGCTGTTATTCCCCTAGTCAACATCATTTTCCCAGATGAGAAAAGTGAATTTTTGTTTAGCTTCTCCTCTGAATCTCTATGATAGATATTTGTAAAACGGCTAGGTTGCAATATCATTTATTTGTTCGATTTATGATACATCTTTCTACTCTAGCAAGAAGTCAGGGTGAAATACAGAATCAATCAAAGTTAAAAGCCTGAAGAAAGGCATGCAGTATTGTATATGTTGTGAAAGCTAAGAAAGTGGAGGCCCAATGCAATTCCCAAATTAAATGCATTCCATAGCCTAAAGAGAACTTGGAAGACTCTCTCCCCAATGTCAGAAAGAAAATCTGACAGTGAGGGAACCCTCAAATGAGTGTCTTCTAGGGATCTTAAGAGCTAGATAAGTTCATCAAATAAAAGGTGGTCAAGATAATGAACTTTTAAACTATGTATTTTTCTGTGATAGTTTTTCCAGACTGATTGGCCCAATTTTGTAGAGATCTCCCATTTAATAGCTTGAAGAAAAGTTTGTGTCACCTAGCCATTTTGAGAAAAACATTCGGAAAATATTCATTTCTGTTGCAGAATGCATTTGCACTCATCAAAGTAGTATGGCGCTTTCTGATTAATGTGGTGGGTTCTGCTTTGCTTGGGGAATTAAAGGTTTGCCTTTTTCTGTAAATAACTATTACACTGTATCTTACATTTTTGGAGTGACTGAAAGTCACACACAGAAGGGAGCATGGGCTAAGAAGCAATGTAAAATGCATTTGGATTTTAATTAAGAATGTATTTTTAACTCTTCTGTTAATGTCTCTAGAAACAACTGAGGTGTACTTCAAATATAATCAGATAATATTTTTCTCATTTTGAATCCCTTTTCTGTATGTTTTATTACACTCATAAACCCATATCTAATACTAAGATATGTGATCCATGCCCCACTCAATGCAAGAAATCCAATATAGGATGCAACTAGATGATCCACTAAGGATTATCCTTTTGTCATGTAGACCATTTTTATGTTGTTACGTTGTGTTATGAAATTAAACTATTGTATGATGTGCCTTGTTGGGTTTCACTTTTCATTTTTAATTCTTGTAAGTAATCAGTGATATCAGCAATAGCACTTAGACTTATATACAGCTTCATAGTGCTTTACAGAGTCAACATATTACTGCCAACAATCTTTCACCTACCTTAGAAGGATGGAAGGCTAAGTCAACCTTGACCCAGTCAGGATCAAAGGAATCAACCTCCTGGGAGTGGGCAGCGTTAGCTTGCAATACTTCATTCTAACCACTGGATCACCAGGGCTCCATAATTCTTTATGTTGCAGGAAAATATTTTGGCACATATATTAACAGCACCACTAAAACATATTCTTCCTTAGGCATGAATATAAACCAGAGAAACTTCCTTCACATTCTTTTGAAATTGATCATGAAGATGTTGACAAGGATGAAGTAAGCATATGACTGTATACTTTCTCGTTATTATTCCCAAATGTTTCTAATGCCCAAATCAGGCAAGGTCCAAATCCCCAACAGCGTCATGTGATGTGGCTTAGGAAGTATGCCTTCTTTGTTACAGCTCTGCCTTTGGAAAATCAATCCACCCGAAACATTTTGGCTTACCCCAAAGACCAGTTTTTTTCCAACACCGAGCCCAGGATGTTAATGAAACCCAGGGTGGAACTATATGATATATGTCCCATGTGGGTTTTTAAAATTTATTTTTGCCCTAAGTTTTGTTGTTGTTGTTGTTGTTGTTGTTGTTGTTGACTCAGAATTCCACTGGTAGATAGATATATATCATAAATTTGTTGAATAAATAAATACATTTTCAGTTTTTGAAAGGAAACACATTTTCTAAAGAAAATTATATATATAACAGATCTGAGAGGTGTTACCATTATTGGAAAATGCATAACTAAAAAATTTCTACATGTTCTAAGTTTTTGTCTCCCGGGGAAAAAATATCAAAGGGTATTAATGTCTTTAAATCAGGATACAATGTCTCACTCATCTTCGAAAGGCGGTGGAGGAGGAGGAGGAACTGGAGTTTTCAAATCTGGATGGCTTTATAAAGGGAATTTTAACAGCACAGTAAATAATAGCATAACAGTTCGGGTAAGAAAATTACTGTTATTTTCTATTGTAAAAGGAGAGCAATGTTATTTTGTGTTGGCAAAACAATCAGAAGAAGCCTAATACCAAACTCCTTTTCATTGTTTAATATTTGTCCTCTGACTTAATTCTCATCATAATTTTTTTTCTTTGTATTTTCACTTGTTTGCTTAGCTCCAGTATGTAATTAAAGAAGCTATGTTTCAGCAGTAATATGAGCTTTTGCCTGGACATAAGCTGTATTAAACTCCATAGATGGTTCAAAGTAAACATGCATACTGTTGCAGTGTAAATGACATTAAAGTGGCCAGTTCCACTGTCATTCAAAGATTATTGTTCTTTATGATTATTAGTGGTGTTTCATTTTCTGTTTTCTCTGAATTAAGCATCTGGTCAGAAATAATTTGTGTTACAGCCAATTCTGTTTCTTATTTTCACATAGTCGTTCAAAAAGCGCTATTTTCAACTGACACAATTGTCGGACCACTCATACATAATGAACTTTTATAAAGATGAAAAGATCTCAAAAGAGCCCAAAGGCTGCATCTTTTTGGATTCCTGTACAGGGGTGGTACAGGTAAGTCAACAGTTTTCAAAATATTGATAGTTTTACTGTATGAAATATCTTTATTGCGTCTGCATTTTCCCAGCCATTTTCATGTTAACAGTTCTTTGCTCTTGAAGACTACAATCCTTACACATATCACTTCTCTTCTAAATACATTGTACCATATGCTATATTCAGAACCTCTCATTGCTCCCTATGCTCATTCCCAGCTTTTCATTGCAAAAATCAAATCTAGTATTCATCCTAATTGATCTTTCCATGTGTATAAATAAAAAGACTTGCAATTATGCCACATACCAAAAACAAACAGGGCTTTTTTTCTCAGCAAATATTCATAAATCAAATTCTCATTTTTTTAGTCTCTGAACAACTTTCTGTGTTTTAATCTTCTTCCACCTATCCATGCTTGTCATCTAACAGAATAGCCATATTTCCCAGACGGTCTCTATTCAGAATGTTGAACAATATATTCCAAGATTCATCTTCTTTCATTATCACCATTTCTTAGAGTACAGCAACCTATGAATTTTTGCTCCTTTAACTGGAATCTTAATATATAAAATGAAATATATCTTAAAATTGCCAGTTTGGCTTTTCTTTCATGAACAAAATTTCTTGTGGCATCTGAAATGTACCACATGATGCTTTGTTTTTGAATGAGAAGTTTAATATAGCTCCTTAGTCTAAAAAAAAATTAACTTACATTTTTGTTATTGAATGGTTGAATGTTTGAAGTTAATATCAAGTTTGATTCTGGCAGAATGGTAATTCTGAGAGAGACTTCAAACACAAGATCTGCTTTGCTTTATCTGAATTCCAATACTAGAAAAGCCCTTTTATACAAAACAAAAACAAAACCCTTTTCTCACTATTTTCCTCTTTAGTTCAAATGTCCAGCTTTTGTTTGTATTGATGCTCTCTGTTAGGGAATAAAACTGGAATTCTGTTGAATTATCCATGCTGTTTGCTGCGAGTTCTGTTAGCTGATAGAATTGAATAGAATACTTTATTGGCCAAGTGTGATTGGACACACAAGGAATTTGTCTTGGTGTAAATACTCTCAGTATACATAAAAGAAAAGATACATTCATCAAGAGTCGAGAATCATAAGGTACGACACTTAATGATAGTCATAGGGTACAATAAGCAATCAAATCATACTAGGAAACAGTCAATATAAATCGTAAGGATACAAGCGACAAACTTACAGTCATACAGTCACAAGCGGGAGGGGATGGTCGATAAGGGGTGATGAGAAGATTAACAGTAATAGTAGTGCAGACTTTGTAATAGTTGAACAGTGTTGAGGGAATTATTGGTTTAGCAGAGTCATGGCTTTCAGGAAAAAAATGTTCTTGTTTTTGTTCTGGTGTGCAGTGCCCTGTAGCGTCATTTTGAGGGAAGGAGTTGAAACAGTTTATGTCCAGGATGTGAGGGGTCTGTAAATATTTTCACAGGCCTCTTTTTGATTCGTGCAATGTACAGGTTCTAGATTGAAGGCAGGTTGGTTGTAATTGTTTTTCCTGCAGTCCTAATTATTGTCTGAAGTCTGTATCTGTCCTGTTGGGTTGCAGAACCAAACCAGACAGTTATAGAGATGCAGATGATAGACTCAATAATTCCTCTGCAGAACTGTATCAGCAGCTCCTTGGGCAGTTTGAGCTTTCTGAGTTGGCACAGAAAGAACATTCTTTGATGTGCTTTTTTGATGACGTTTTTGAAGTTAGATGTCCATTTTAGGTCATGTGATATAGTAGAACCTAGAAATTTGAAGGTCTCTACTGTTGATACGGTGTTGTCTAGTATTGTAAGAAATGGTAGTATGGGATGGTTTCTTCTAAAATCTACCACCATTTCTATGGTTTTGAGTGTGTTCAGTTCCAGATTGTTCCAGTTACAGCACGAGGCAAGTTTTATAACTTCCTGTCTATATGCAGATTCGTTATTGTCTTGAGTGAGACCAATCGCTGTTGTGTCATCAGCAAACTTCAGTATTTTAACAGATGGATCATTTGAGATGCAGTCATTGGTATATAGGGAGAAGAGAAGTGGAGAAAGCACACGGCCTTGGGGGCCCCCTATGCTGATTGTACACATATCAGGTGTGATTCTGCCTAGCTTCACCTGCTGTTTCCTGTCTGTTAGGAAGCTTATGATCCACTTACAAGTGTGTTCAGGTACCGCTAGTTGGTTTAATTTACTTAGAAGAATGTCTGGAATGATGGTATTGAATGCTGAACTGAAGTCTACAAAGAGGACCCTTGCGTAGGTATTTGGAGATTCAAGGTGTTGTAGGATGTAATGCAGAGACATATTAACAGCATCATCTCTCGATCTCTTTGCTCAGAATGTGAACAGCATGGGATCTAACAGCAGATCTGTGATGGTTTTCAGGTGGGACAGCACAAGCCTTTCAAATATTTTCTGTAACTACAGATGTTAGAGCAACTGGTCTGTAGTCATTCAGTTCCTTGATGCAGGGCTTCTTTGGCACTGTATGATAGTAAAGCATTTGAAGCAGGAAGGAACAGCACATCTCAAGTGATCTATTGAAGATTCGAGTGAAGATTCGGGTCAATTGGTCAGCAAAGACTTTTAAGCAAGAAGGACTTACCTTGTCTGGCCCTGGTGCTTTTCCTGGCTTTCATCTGTGTAATAGATCTTGCACTTCTTTTTCTGTGATCACCAGAGGTTGTGAACTCAATGGGTTGGGACCAGTTGTAGAAGGCTTGGCTGTTGTTGATGTGTTTGAGACGTGGGTTCTGGAGATAGCTGGCTGTAGTTTCCTTTCAAACCTGCAGTAAAACAACCTAAACAATCTTCTTATCACCCAGTGTGGGTCTACGTGCTTCTTTAAGAGAGTTCTAGGTAAAATGGCTCAGTCTGATCACTTGATTAAGAGACTTTTGAGATAATTCTGGTGTGCATACAGAAATCAGTGTGCATAACCATTTCTCATTTCAATTACACAGAAAAGCTACACAAATAGCTTTTTAACGCATGCCTAATGAGATTTTCCATATCATGTTTACATTTTAAAACTAACCTATTTGCCTTTGCCAAATGGAGAGAAAAGACACAAATATTTCTTGGTCCCATGCATTGCCTCTGATTCATTACAGTATGTAACTTAGTTATAGCTGTTATTCATAGCTTGCAAATACATATGACGCAGAACAGGTTTTATATAGTTTGCTCGTAAAAATTCTTTATTCTGATTGCTAAAAATGATGGAATTTTGTAAAAAAGTGGGTCTTATGCTCAAAGATTGTTTTTTTTTCTTTCTTCTTTAAACAATGCACAATTATTTATTCAGTATTTAATTTTTATATTACTGAAAGTACAACATCCTTAGCAGTATATAGTAAATCAAATATAAATCAAATGCACTAAACTTGATGCCAAGCCATTTAGAACTTTATAAATTAAAACCAGCAACCAGTACTTTAAATTGCACCAAGAAATATTTTGGAAACTGCCTAGCCTATAATACCACCATAATCCATTACTGATGTCTATTGCTAGTCATCAAATAGTGAAAATCCATTTTTACAGCATATACCAAAGGATAGTGTGGTATATCATTTAATTCTATAGTTTATTATTATTAAGAAAGGGTTTTTTTTTGTCCTGTTAAGAATTGGATAACATTCATTTTAAAAGCCTTTAGGCTAGTACCTTGACAAAAATCCTTTCTTCAGTTTCTCAATTTTATTTCTCCAGTGAAAGATGCTTTAGTTTTGCTGTCTTCTTTTCAGCATGCTTTATTATTTTTCAGATATTCTCTCTTACCATTTTTGTGTTTCCTTTGTAGTTAAAAGTAGTAGAAATGGACTTTTATGTCTCTTATTAAATCATTAAATTAACACGATGACCATATTTAATTAATTTGATCAAATCTTAATTACATTTAAATTAAGTTTAATATTTTTGTCCAAATCTATCTTATTTTTCTCCAGATCTTTCCCACTTCTTAGGGTATTACCCTCCCTCCCCCAGTATTATTCAAAGATTATACCCTTGAAATGTTAAATCTTCCACAGTTCTAAAGGACCTTGTATCCATAGCTGATCCACATATTATCAGAAGAACTAGACTAAAACAAACATGAAGTATAAAAATTGAAGAAGACCAATCACTCAAATTAGTGTGTGGTTTAAGGAATGGGTAATTCCAACTCTAATTTAAACTGATCCAAGTTTGGGGTAGCTGCTGCAGCCTATCTTATGTGGTATTTCTGGCATTCTTTTTGCATGTTCTAATGTTGAAGTTTAAATTAAATGTGGGAAATAGCTCAGTTCCCTTTTCAAAAATGCTTTTGAGAAATTAACATAGCTGCAGAAGGAAACGTTTTGCTAAATATTTGGGAATGTGAAACTTTTGTGTTGCATCTCTTATTCCTTTAAAGATGCTAACTTCTTGCTACATTATATTTATAATGTGCTATATGAAAATGCATTTTTTTAAAAAAAAGTTCAATCACATTCTACTGTTGAATTTGAACTATTTCATAAACATGAAAAACATTTGAAATAGACATTATAGAATACATATTCTATACATATTAATGGTATATGTTTTGGAATGCTATTTATGCATTTGTTTATAGATTGACCAAGTCTTGGTTCCTTTCAGTTATTGTGTTTTCTTCTCTATCAGTTTCCTTATGATATTAGGTCATTAGACAGGACATTTCTTTAAAAAATAAACACACTTAAGGTATGTTAAATATGAGGGATATGCTTTATACTGTAGTTTTACAGATACTTTGCATATTTTATTTGCAGATTTTACTTGTCTTATATTTTATTGTAATGGAGTTTGTTGGTTTAAGTTCTTTCGATGTTTTGCAAGCAGATATAAACCATACAGCTAAAATAAAAATTCCTTAACAAGTTAGAGACAATGTAGGCATATTTTTAAAAAAATAATAATTGATTCAACCATGCAAATGCTACCTAATGCTTTGCCATCAGATGCTATCTTGCAAACTGACATTTCTGACTGATGTCTGGCCTGCTATTTCTAAATCTACTTTAGTTTCCTCTGTATCTTTCCTCTGTCTTTCCTTAGTTTCCTCTGTATATAGACAATGCTTGTTGCAGGCATGGGGGAAAACATAAAACATCACCTTCCTTCTAATATATAAACTTACCCAGAGACTAGAATTTTTATCAGACTCTTTCTTCCATATACTTACCATGCAGAGACTCTTGGTTATAAAGTTAATATTTTCCTCTGGAACTCCTTTTTACATGTCGTTTCATTATTTTAGACAAATGATAACATTGGGATTTTTTTGTCTTTGATATTCTATGATTAATTTTCAAACTTTTTTGACTCATTTGAATAATATTTTGTTTTTATCTTAATTTTTAAAACTTTTTAAAAAACGTTTAAGCTTAGGTTATTTTATCCATATTTTTATTTCTATATAATCAGTTGATAAATACTGAAATAAAGGTAAATAAAACAGTGAAAAATTCAGAACAGGAAAAGCAATTCCTCCTCCCCATCAATGATTTTGTCCTAGTAACTTTTTTGTATCATTTATTTTAACCCACTGAAACTGATAACAGAAGTTGAAATGGAATTGTGAATATGAAAGACTGAGAAAAACCAAATTGTACCAATTCAATATTTTCCTAATGAACAGAATACTTTACGCCCAAAATTTAATTTTTTTTTGGAATTCTTGCAATTTCTAACAAATTCAGAAATTTCAGACATTTTAGATTGTTTTCAAAGTTAGGCTGTAAGTATAAAAAAGGGATAGAGTAGATAATTATGTTGCAATCTACCAGTTTTGGAACCAGCTTGTGAGAACTCTGGTGGTTCAGTTTGCCTTTCCTTTGCTATACTGTTAGATCAGTGTAGGGGAAGAAATACATAGGATCCAGCTGCTCTCTTCAGCTGGCAGCAGCTGAAAATATTTATCAAGTATCTAAGCAGCTGTCTTACTTGAATAGTTTCACGTGGGACTTTCCAACATATTAAATTGAAACCATTTTTTAAGCAAATATTTGACAGTTCTGTGAAATAAAAAGCAGGTGCAAAAACATAGTATTGAACCTGCCGATGATGTTTCAGACATGTGTTGTCTCTTAACAAAGCCTCTGCCTGCCCATGAAGCAGTAATTGGGAATCTGGGAGCCCTTAAATCAAGGACTTTCCAGAGACAGTGCCAATCCTTCAAGAACCATGTAGTTGTCAAGAGTACCTTGATAGAGAAACGACAACTCTTTTCGGGATTCAGATTTAACCTGTTTCACCCAGTCCAGACACCAACAGCCTTCAGGCACTGGAACAAAACATCAAAGGAATGTCCTGCAGGTGTTTGGCATCAAAATTCTATTCAACACACACATAGGCGCACACAAATACACATTGTACATGTGCTTGTGTGTGCATGTGGGAAAATATAGACTTTAGAGCAAAAAGATAGCAATAAGGAATGCAGCTGTGGAAGGACCCATATGCATGAAGCATGCATGCCCTGGCTTAATTTTAAAATTGTCTTTTAAAAATGTTTATATGTTGCTTTTCCGATGTTCAGAGAAAAGCTCAACTACTACAGTAATTTTGATGGAGAACTCTGCAAGATTAAACGGATATGAAGAGGTGCCATCTGGCATCTCTGCCCTCTTTTAACATTTAATAGATATTGTTTGTCACCAGGCACACTGACATATTTCTGAGTATTACCACATTTCCCTTCCAGAAAGCTTCTAAAATTAGAGCACTCTCTCTCTAAGCTGAGTTGCTATTGACAGAATACAGAATAACAGAGGTTGGAGAATAGGCTGACCTCCTTCTTTCTGTGACAACCTCACAAATATTGAAAGATTGCTATCATGTCACCCTTAATCCTTTACTTTATTGTGTTAGACATTCTCAGTTTCCCCAACCGTTCATCGTACAGTTTAGCCTCCAGCCCCCTAAATATCTTTGTTGCTCTTTACATTCTTTGTAGAGTCTTAACATGTTTTTCCTATTGTTATGACCAAAAACTGGATGTAGTATTCCAAGTATGGTCTTTTGCTGGTGCAGTATAAAGTGATACTAACATTTCACACGATCTTGATACTATCTCTCTGTTGATGCAGCCCAGGCCTGCATTAGATTTTTGGGCAGCTGCTGTACACTATTAGCTCATATGAATGCTAGCTTAAATGCTAGAGTCAAGAATGGTATATAAGTATAATTGTGTCTTTTCTTCATTGTCCTTAGCCAAGCATGGCCAATCCATGTTGATCAAATAATGTTCCTGTACATCTTATTTATCAACTTTTCCCATGAAATAACGTACTGCAAAAAAGTCTTACCGGTTTCCAGTAGAAACATAAAATAAGAAAGTTTACTATGCCCTTAAATAAATTTTAAGTATAAAAAATTACAATAATTAAATATCTATGACAAAATATCTGATTTACTTTTATGATGACACAGAATCATTATTTTTTTTACCCTGTGTTGCCTCTAGAATTGAAAATAGTAAATAATACCAAGCTGCCAAAAAAATCCTTAGACCTTCATTAAAGGATAACAGATTAACAGTTCTAAGTAATTAATTTTTTCCGGATGGAGATATAGATTTCCTGCCTTCTGATTAATTGCTATGAGAATATTTTTAGTTACATTGCATTTAATGCAGCAAAAAAATTTAGGATGTCTGGCTTTTATGCATGTCTGTATGTGAATCTCAAGTAGTATTTGAATTCTTGAGATTTTTTTTTAACCTTCAAGAAAGTAACATAGACAAAGATGTTTTGTTGTTTCTTCTGGATAACATAAGATGAAGAAAAATAATCTGAACACATGTTGCTTTGCTTTTATGTGTTTCAATATTTGTTTTCTATTTTCTTGACTAAATGAAGTCATTTTAGCACTCCTCTGAATACAGCTTGGTATGCCTAAAGTTAATGAGTATGAATTCATTTGTATCTTCAGAGTCATAAATATAAACCAGTCTAAGCAAGACTGGGTACGATATCAGATACTGTAGTTCTTTCCCCTTGATAAATTCAATGTAGCAATATACTAATCAGAAAAACTCTTTGATTAACTTTTTTGACAATATGATTGAAATCTTAGTGGTAGGATTACTATATTGAACGTTCCAAAAAGAAGACATTTGGGAGTGAAAACTGCATCATTTTTTATCTCACAAATTATGGTATTTAAGCACACACAACCACACCACAATAAATACTTTTAACTTAGATATATGTGTATGTATCAGTATGTGTGCAGGAAAAACATATGCACACGCATGCACACGCTGCTGCTTATGTGGTAAATACTGAATGTTATCATACTAAACTTTCCATGACAATATAAGTCATCTATTTGTGAAATAGAGAGGAAAGGGCTTTTAGTGTTCTCCCACTTCACTATAACTCTTGAACCACAAAATCTCCTCCAAAGAACTTCTGTTTCTGGTGCACATCTGAAGTAAACCCAGGAATAGATAAGAAAAGATTGCTGAAATCAAATAATCTTCATGTTCCATTTACCAGAATGGAGTCATTCATTTCTCTGAGAACACTATTGATATATTCTATTCATAACATAGCTAGCCTTCTCACAAATAAAATTAATAAAATTAGGAAACAAAAAATGTTCTGTTCAAATGGCATTAAATTTGTATATATTTGTATGAGTGTGAAAATATTCTGGTGTGCCTAAATGAATCATATTTCTAAAGAAGCATGCATGAATAAGTGGCTTTGGTGCTGTACAAAAGAGCCTCTTTAACTTGACCTCAGCCCCACAGAAGAATCTTACCATAATCTCCAGAAATCTACAGCTACAAACCCCCACCTAAAAGCACACCACCATCACCAGGAGGCTGATTATTTCTAACAGCACAAGCAGGTTTGCAGGTTCATCATCTCAGTCCTCCAAGTAAATTTCAAGATGGGGAAAACAAGCAGCTAGCAAAAGAGTGTGGTTGCTTTATCACAATGTTTTTAACCTTGACAACTTTAAGTTGTGTAGATTTCAACTCTTTACAACTCTTTTGGAAGTTGAAGTTCACACATCTTAAAGTTGCCAAGGTTAAGAAACACAATTTTATCCAATAGGGAGTTATCTGACTCTTGGCTGTTTTTTTAAAATTATTAACAAATATGATAAGATAGAGATTTAGAACCCATAGAAAGGACATGTCTAGGAAAAAATAGATGAAGAGTATAAATGGTATGGGTCCTGTGGAAAAAAAATACAAAAGAAAACAACAGTGCATATACAAAGATAAAGTTAGTATGTTTAAACATCTTTTATATACCATGATCAAAACATTTGCAACCTAATTGCAACATTTGCAAGTTCCAATCCTGTTTGTACAAGGCTTCGAAAACACACTGTTGAATTCATGTCTCTGTGTTAAAGGGTCTTTTTTTTTCATCAGAAGTCTTCCTATTCGTAAAATGCATAACAGTTAAAGAAAATATTCACTCTTTATTTCAGTGAGGATTATCCAAAATAACATATTAACATTTTCCAAACAACAAGTTATGGAAGTATTTAATCATTTAATATGGAATTTGCCATATTTCATTGCTGTAACAATTCTTTCTTTCTTCCTTCCTTCCTTCCTTCCTTCCTTCCTTCCTTCCTTCCTTCCTTCCTTCCTTCCCTCCTTCCTTCCTTCCCTCCTTTCTTTCTTTTTCCTCTTGAACCAATAGAATAATAGGCTTCGGAAACATGCCTTTGAGCTGAAAATGAATGACTTGACATACTTTGTGCTGGCAGCTGAAAATGAGCAAGATATGGATGAATGGATTTTTACTCTCAACAAAATCCTTCAGATAAATCCAGAAGGGTCCATCCAAGAGAGGAAAAGTGCTGACATCAGTGATATTAGGTTTGGTTAGTAGGTTTTTTTTTATCATTCAGGATGCAGAATTAAACATTTAAACTTCATGAAGCATTATATATTTAAATCCCCAGGCATTTTGAATCCCATTGCAGATCAATGCATAGTGTTAAGTATTTTTGTTTTTAAGCTGCAAAGATGCTCATGGTGCCAGCTATTCTTGAATGCATTTTATTTTAGCCTTCTTTTATAACACATATTATGTCAGGAAATCATACAGCATTCATACTCTAAAGGTTTAAAATACTATATGCAATAAGCTTTTACTGTGATTCAAAATGAATCTGTAGGACACAATGGAAGAAATTGATGCTGTCATATGAGCCATACTTTACAAAAAGTTCTCTTCTCTTGCTCGATCCTTTGACTGCCACAAAGAAATTTATTTCTCAAAAGGATTATATTACAGTCCTATGTTCATTGATTTTTATAAAATAAGTTTATTAAAATGGTTTGTATTATGATTGGGAGCTTTTAATGTACATCTCTATTTGCTTGAGAATTGTCCTTTTTTCTGCAAAGTCATAATATAATTGCAGAACAGAAAATGCATGATTTAGCTAAGCATGTACTTCAGTTCATCATTAAAACATTTGGAAGCAAATAATCTTTCCTCTTTTGAATGTGTGTATGTATTTAAGATTCTGAAGACATTTTCATGAATTATGACTGCCCTGAAGAGGAAAATGGTTCTTCAGAGAATAATTTGCATCCAGATATTGCTAAAGTAAGAGATTATTGTTTTTACAGCGTGAAAAATCTTTGTATATAATAAATATTATTATGCCACATGAAAACTTGAAAATAAATTTTAAGTTACTAGCATTTAAAAGCATACTACTGTATGTCACACACAAAAAAACAGCTGTCTCTTTATTGTGATGATATATCATGGTGCTTTACTTTTTCAAGGCATCACATTTTAGGGTGAAAATATTAGAATTAAAAAACCCATCAGATCATTTGAACTAAGAATTATTACAAAGCCAGTTTGGTATAGTAGTTAAGATTTCAGACAAGAAACCAGGATATCTTGAGTTCTGAGACACAAAATTGGTTGGGTGATATTGGGTCAATCACTTTCTCTCAGCCCTAGAGAGCAAGCTATGGCAAACCACTTCTGAAAAGTTTGCCAAGAAAACTAAAGAATTTCTTTAGGCAGTTTCCAAGAATCAGCACTCATTCAAAAGCATGTACAGGATACAGTATATATATATTTGTGTGTGTGTGTGTGTATGTATATATGTATATATATAATTATTTATCAATTTATATAATATAATTTATATCGACCTCTTATCCATTTACCTATCACAGTGATTGTATATCAGAAAATTCTTATCTTTGCAGTACCTCACAGAAACAGAAAAAAGTGTTCAAGAATGTCGGAATGTAGATCGGCTAAACCTTTTTTCTTTAGACCCTGACATTGCTGTAAGTAAAGTGTTCCTTTTAATTGCCGAGAAAGATTGAATAAACGCAAGTAGCATAGTGCATTAATTACTAGCCATGTAATTTTAAATGCTTTTATTGCATATATTTCTACTTTAAGTCATTCTGTATGGCTAGCTTCCAAGGCTAGAGATTTACTCTTGACTGATTATACATCTGTATCCCAAAACATTTTCTTCTACATTTGTAAGATGCTTTGTATATTGATTTCAAAGAGCTAATTATCTCAATGTCCAATTCTAGAGCTTGAACACTCAAAGAAAGGAGTTCACAGAAATGGATCAATTGCTCAAACCTTTTGAAGAAAAAGAGACAAAGCAAATCATGATAACGTGCAAATCCCTTAGTCTCAACCTTCAAGCTTGTGTTTCTGATAATGAAAATGATCCAGTCACCAATGTAAGTCTGAAGCAGGTTGCAGAAATCTATGCTTCTCCAGTGAGACTCAGCATGCTTTAAATATCAGTTACTGGGAGGAATAGGGAAACTTCTCTATGTGAACTTTCCAGAAGCACTTTGGCAAGAACAGTGGTCATTTTGTCTGATCTAGCAGGGATTTTATGTCCCTATGTTTTTTTCTAGTAAACAGATTTCCCAAAGGTGCTTTTTCAAGAGGCAACTGGACTTTCTGGTTTTTCATCAATGATGTTTGGCTTCTCATCAAAGAAGCTTCTTCAGCTTCTTTCTGCTAAGGGACCTTGGCATGAGCAACAAAAGATCAAATTATTCCAATATATAATCTAATATCTAATAACATTCATCGTAGTTGATATAGTTTTTCCACAGAATAATTTCTGGATTTTATACTAAAATGACAAAAACCCTGACATCTGTTGGACAAATGGGTTGTTTGTTGTAAACAATGTAAATAAAAAATGGGGAAAATCTGAGTATTTCTAAATATATCACTTGTCAATATATATAAAAGAAAATGTAATGGATGGAACTGTTTAAATTATGAACAATTTATCTTACATTGCTTTTGGCCAATGTATTGATTTCATTCATTGGAAGATAGCAGCAGATACTTTTAAAGCCTAGTTTTGCTAGGAAATAAATAAATAAAGGCAGAAAATAATTCCAGAATGAGAGTGGGAAAAGTACATACAGGGAGACATATTGAGAGTAGTGTTTGAATAATACACACACAGCACACAGATACACTGTAAAGTAAATCTAGGTTTTTACTTCCAGAAACATATAAGCAAAGTTCAGAATAGGCAGTCCAAAGTCATTCACAGGTTAAATCAATTTAACCCGGTCAGCCAAAACTTTCACTTCTTATCTTCTTCCTGCACATTCTTTTCCGGTCAAGTTCTCCTTTGTGGTGGCCATTTCTGACCACCGCTGCAACCGCCTTTGGGAAAGGGAGTAATGGCTAGCTGAGGAGGAGAGATGCAGCTCTTCTCAACCCTGCTGGTGGTCTCCCCCCTCTTCACCACCTCTATGGGGTGGCTTAGCCCTGAAACCAGCCGGCTCGGGCCGCTCCAGCGGCGAGCCCAGACAGAAACCACGCACGATCATGCATTTCTGTCTGTTGCCGAAGCCCTTCAAACCAGAAGTCCCAAGATAATAGCTTTTTCTTAACTGCAAAGCATATGATGAAACAGTCAATATTAATGTATGTAATAGAAGATAAATATATCAGTAGTACTGGCTTGTATGATCATGATTCAATTTAGTAAGTTAAGATATGAACAAGTATTTTCTCATGTATTTAGTCCCCTATTTATATGAATTAAATAAGGAAAATTATTTAAATCTCAGTTTCCAAATTAGGAACATGGCCTACTATCTTAATAGCAAGCCATTAAATTAAATGAATTCAAAATTGTGGCTAATTTGTAGTTTTCTTCAAAGTTCATATCTGTTTCCATAGTTTGAACAAAGTAACATGTTCTTAGTTTGATGACCATAATTTCCCAATTTGAACCTTCTTTGTTTATGTAAGACTAAAGAGGCTATATGCTATCTGAATGTTTAGCATTTTAAAGTAGCATACAATTATACACAATGCTCTAATGGTTTATTGAAAAACCTCTTGAATTCACAGCTTAGAAATATATTAAACTCAGTAGACATATTTGAGATATATTTCAGTTTTTATTTTATTTTTTATTACTTTTTATATATGTTATTTAATGTTGTTATCTTATTAGATGTGTGATTTTAATAAATTATTAGCCATTATTAGAATCATATTTGTGAGATGGCTGGCTAAATAAATAAATATTTTTGTTTTCAGATTGAGCCCTTTTTTGTGAGTGTGGCTCTTTTTGACTTAAGGGACAACCGAAAGCTCTCTGCTGATTTCCATGTAGACCTGAATCATATTATTGTTAGACATATGATATCATCCTCATCAGAAAATGGAACTGTTGAAACAACTGGCAACAAAGATGAAGAACCTCAGGTTAAAGGATTCCCAGAAGAGTGGCTGAAGCATCCCAAACAGGTTACAAAACTGTTTTGTTCACAGGCATCTGCTTTGTGAACATCAATTGAAAGTTATCAGTAAAGAAAATTGTATGTCATGTTTATTTGGGTTTGAATGATTACAAAGCAGTAGATGGGTAGTTATAAGTACTCTTCCAATCCATGAGTAAAATCTGATTATTTTGGAATTGTAAATCCCACCATTCCTTCATGGAATGATAATAATCCTAGAGAACATCACATTGGAAAACAATTTTTTTTCAAATTTTCTTAATGTTGCATATCCCCACACAAGCTCAACATTTCCAAATAAAGAAATGGGGCAAAATATGAAATTATGGTTATCTGTAATAAGAATAAAAACTTTCTATAGTCTGCAATTAAGGTGGTTAGAAAGGTTATATTTGTCATCAGATTTTTCAAGTAGGCCTCTTATTGGCTCTTAGTTTATAATAATCCATTATCTCATTCTTGCTGCTTATGTAAAACTTGTCAGAGTAAAGAAATTTGCTGCTTCATGAAGAACGACATTAAAGATTTCTATACCATCAGCAAATGCCCTATGCATCGTTCAGCCACAGGTTTCAAACTCCTTAATATTGTCAACTTCTTAATAAAATATATCCAGTCCACAGAATGATTGACAAAATCCTTGTTGCTTACCAAAACTCTTTCAGGATGCTTATAGGCAGTAGCACATTTTGAAACCTACCATTGGTTCCTCATAACCTCCATAACTCCCTTTTATGCCATGCTTCCAAAAATAGAATAAAATCTCCATTACACATCAGTGGAACCAAATTATTCTAGAAGGAGTTGGAAATTTACCCATCAGTGGAAGAAAATTACTCTAGAAGGATTTGGATATTTTGTCAGAAAAAGGTAGAAGTTTGGGGATTAATGGAAATTAGAGTTGATGACATTTTTATGTTACAGAATAATTCTTTAAGTAAAATAACTTGTTTGTTGTATCTAGATTGCTACTTACTGATTTTTTTTCTACCCTCAGGGAATTTTCTCCATTAGTAACCCCCATTCTGAAATTGTTTTGGTGGCAAAAATTGAAAAGGTCCTCATGGGAAATATAGCTACCAGTGCAGAACCTTATATAAGAAACCCAGACTCTAACAAGGTAATGTAATTGGGAACATAAATGGCTTTCAAATCCTAAGGGTCAAATTAACTATTGACAAGAGAAGCCATCTCTGGAGACAGCATTGGCAATCTATAGGAGCAGGAAGCATTGTTTGTTTATGCAATCTGTTTGTGCTTCTTCTTATTCTCAATGAAAGAGTTAATTTTTAACAATAATCAACTGAAGTGCTTCCAAAAATAAGTAATGTAAGTTGCACTAATATCAGCCTTACCAGGTAGACTAGACAGGGAACATAACCAGATGAACTAATTCTACTTTATTGTAAGGCTAATTTAACAGAATCTTGCAAAAGTGAAAGTACAATTTTCCCCCATTTCCTTTGCACATACATTAGGGGGGGATCTTTTCTGAGCCTTTTGCCCTGCCTACTGTTCAGCTGCAGACTATGCTGTCTCTTATCTGACCACACCCTAGGGACAGCCTCTGGCTCAGTCTCCCAAGACCATTCCCACGTACTGTTACAGGTAAATGTCTGATCTGCAGATAGAAGTATGATAGCTAGGAGATTTTAACTATTCAGCTACAATATTTTAGATTAGAAATATATCCCTTTTTCTATGAATAAGCAAAACCCCTTAACGAAGTCAAAATAATAGAATCAATTCCCTGGGAGTTTAGTTGGATTCTCCATCAATGGGTATCTTCAGGAATATTATGTCTTTCTCAATGCTATACCAAGTATATACGTACAACTGTATTGTACAAATGACAGCTAATTGGGATTTAAGCAACCTATTATTATTTTTCCTTTGCTTATGTTACATCATTTTATATTTTAAATTTTCTTCCTAATCTTTAACATTTGTTGTATATGTACTACTTCCGCTTTTATCTCAGCAGTTTAAGCACTGAGCATTGTGTTCATTAAAATAAAAGATTTTTCTAAAACTTAAAAAAAACTAGTATATGTGAGACATCCATGTTCATCATGAAATATGTCTATTGTTGTTCAAAAATTTCTCAGTGATAATTCTTAGGAAGTGTTATCAGGCTGAAATTATCTGGCAACCTGCTGTGCTGCTCTAGTTCTGGTTTTTCTGCATCATTTTAAGTGGCTAGGTGGCCTAGAAGAACCTTTCCAATGATGATACTATAGTACTTCATCATCAAAATGTCACCAATAGTCTAAAATTAAATTATTCTGAATAGAGTTTGAAGTGACCCTTCTTTAACATTTTCTTTGATTTTATCTAGTGGGCCCTGAAAGTATTAAAATCCAACAAACAATTTTGCAACAAGTTGGGAAAATATCGGATGCCCTTTGCTTGGTCTGTACGGTATGTAATTACTAAATGTCTATCAAGTCTTAGCAATCTTGCACCTGGTTAGAAATTATAAAATGCATTGGTTCATGCAAGGCACAATATGCCCTGTTTTCATATATGTGAATTGATATAGTTTCTAACAGAAAAATTAAAAGGTTTCCAGTATTTGCTATTCACTAAGGGAAATCATATTTGATTTCATTCTATGTTTTTGGTATAAAGTATATATTATAAAGAATAATAGAGTTGGAAGGGCCTTGAAGGTCTTCTAGTCCAATTCCCTGCTCAGGAAACCCTATACCATTTCAGACAAATGGTTGTCCAATCTCTTCTTTAAAACTTGCAGTATTGGAGCATCCACAATTCTGGAGGCAAGTCATTCCACTGATTAATTGTTCTGACTGTCATGAAATTTCTCCTTAGTTCTAGGTTGCTTCTCTCCAACAAGAAAGGGATATATTTTGATATACCAGTAAAACAATAGTTTTCATACATTGCAACTTAACACTATGGAGTCTACATTCATCATCATTATGCAAGCTTGTGAGAAATTATAACAGCTATGACAGCACTAACCAGCTTTATCTGGGCTCAATACTTGAGTAAAGTCAGTTTGTTGTTTGGATAGAATATTGCTATGAAACACTAGGGAAACAAGTTTGTTATTGGTCTGAATGTATCTTCACTATTGAACATGACTTGAGTTGTCTATTCCTACCAAACTAGAGAAGTGAAAATTATAGCTCTCCTGGTTCCAAAGCAAACTTTTCAGATGGCACAAAGAATTAGAATGCTCTACTGTCTGTCTTTACTGCCAACAACTGCTAGTATAGATTTTTAAAGCACAGATATGGCACCACTATTCTTTCTTGTCTCTTGTCTCAAAATGATGACAACAGGAATAAAGTGCCCAAAACTGAAGCCACCTCAGTTCAACTTCCAGCACATGTTTCTGCTGTTCAGATGACCACAAAAGAGATTGCAATGGTAGTAATAGCAATGGCAACAACTCTTCTTTTACCTCTTCCTTTCATCTTTCTGTGTCTGCTTTGGCCTATGTCTGGACTAAAAGAAATCTACAACATAAAAATATATTTTACAACTGTGTATATTTATGTGGCTTTATTTCATATGATCAGGAATGTTGAACTCATGAAGTGAGGAGCAAGGTGAAATTGGAGGGGTTCATGCCTGCAGGTGGCCGCTTTTCATCCCTATACTATTTTCAATAGTTCAATTACTGTATTTAATATCCAATAGCATTTGTGTAACAAGCCAATATGTTTCCCGACCCCTGGTGCCCATGAAGCACCTGAAGACAAATAGCAGGATAACTTCTACCCTTTGGACTGAATGAATATTAGTACCTTGTTCATATTTTTATTTAATTGTTTACCTGTTTGTTTATTAAATTTATATGGTGCCCATTTCACTTTGCAAAGCAACTCTAGGCAGCTAACAATTAAAATGTTATATACACATACATACTACATACATAAATGCATACAGTACATTCATACACATGCATACATACATACATATCCTGTATTAAAGATACAAAAGTTGAGCTTTTCTTTATAAAATCTTACCATCTAAAAAACATTTTTTCCCTTAAACACACACAACTTACTGCATAAAAATTGGCCTAACTGATGAAAAGCAGAAAGCTTGGATTGTGAATTTTGTTTCCAATATTTAATTTCTGACATCAAACACTGCTCTTGTTTTAAATGTTTTTTAAACAAGAAAACCAAATGAAATAGCCTAAATTGGACACATTTAGAGCAATCTTTACATATCCTTTCAAGATTCCTGATTTTCCAGACTTGGAGCTAAAAGTCTTTTTTTTATTATTACAATGCGTATTTATGTATCCTGAATTTGGGGCAGATGCCATTTGTACTTTGCCGAGAGTCAATAATTACAACATGCCTTAGCATTACACTGTGACAAGTCAGTCTTCCATTCTCATATTCCTACCACAGCTGCCAGAATTTGCAAATACGATTTGGACGTGGAAAGTTGATTTTCCCACAAAATATTTTCCACATATCTTTTCCATTCTATTATTCTCATTCAAAAAGATTTAGAACCCTGTCTGCAAAAGATCTTAACAATTTACAAAATTAAAGTGTTCTTTATGGCAGATATGTATCCTCCAGTTCAGCTATTGTCCTGGTTTGCAGTAATAGAGAACCTTGCTCTATATTTTAAAAGGAAAAGCTTAAAAATAAAAGATGGAGAATAAAATCCAAAATCAAGAATTAATGGGGCTGAAAATTTATATGAAAACTAATTTTTTTAATCTACACTGTTTTTTTATTACATCCCACTGGATTCAGTGAGACTGGTTCCTAGATAACTACACATACAAGTAACTTTAGCTATATTCTCATCTATGAAGGCTATGGCTCTTGATTTAATAATGTTATGTTTTAATAGGTGACAATTGTTGAACACTGTGCAAACAATTTTACCATCACTATAAAATTCATAGTGTTCATGAGTCTGTGGAAGCTTACTTTGATGTCATTTTCATGGTATTTCATATTGGTGTTAATACCAGTGTTAGTACATTTAATTTGGTATTACTGCCTCATTTGATTTCTGGAACATGGATAATTAAGAAACTATGGAATTAGTAAAAACCCTTGGCTAGTTTTTACTAGTTTGGTATACTTCAAAGCTTCCAGAATGATTATATAAGAATTAATTAGCAAGTGATTAATTTATCATTTTCTGTATTGTTTTTCTTTCCTGACAGGCCTGTCTTTAAGGATAATCAGGGAAATATTGACAGAGATTCCCGGTTTTCACCTTTGTTCCGACAAGAAAGTAACAAAATTTCAACAGATGATTTAATTAAACTTATAAGTGAATACAGAAGGTAAGATGTCCTTGGCTTAAGTTTCTAAAACTACAACATAGTACTAACTACTATTCATCAATAGCTTTGTTTGCTCAAAAAGTGCCAATGCCAAAATAATTTATTACAATGGAACAGATTTCACATTAGTTACTTTTCTGCCAAAGTGAGCTTCCAGAAAACTTATCCAAGAAAACTGGAGAAGTGTTTCATACAGTAACAAATATAATGGCTGCTTGAGGAAAAGAAAAGAAAGAACAATAGAGATGCAGAACAATTTACTGGAAAATTGTTAGATTTGATTAACCAAGGTGATTCCACAAAAGGATTTGGAGCTTCTTTGAAGGCAGTTTGGAACTTCTTCATCAACAAGTTGTTGGAGAGCTGAGCTCAACTGAGTGCAATTTCTTGCTCAACTGTGTTATAGCTGAAACCAGAGCAAAGTTAAATATTGTAGCTCCATTTCGTTATTGAAGGGAAACACTGCCCCCAAACTCTTATCCCAGCATATAATTCTTCCTCTTATGAAATGGATGAGGGCATTTTTGTTGCTGCCTAACCTGCAGCAGTTTAGAAATGGGCAGCTATTTTTCACTTCTGATTGTCAGCATTTCAAGCTGGCAAAAGTGAAGACAACCACAGATTATGTTTAAATTGTGTCTATGAGTTTGATTAATGAAAAGAGCATCGGTGTGGAAATGTCCTAATTTCGGCTTCTGTATTCTGTTATACAACATCTGTTTTGTTTAAGATTCATCCTCCCTGAACAATATATCCTTTCTGTATACTTGCTTGGTGACTTATAAAAACTCAAAAAAGCAAGATTTGTTAAATCTTAATTTGTTTTTTTAAATTCTAGACAATTGTTCCATGGAATAATTCTAAATACTACTGTGCAGCAGAATTTCTCTGACTCTAAAAAAAAGATAATTCAGTGTAATTCAAGCATACTGTTGTTTGCCTTCATTGTTTGTTTGATGTATAAATCATTAATAAACAATGGCTTATTTGGCCAGCATTTAGTATGTTTTCCCTTTTTTAATTGGTCTTATTTTTATATCTATGAATTGGTTAGAGGCTTAGGTCAGACATAGAGATGAATCAGATATGAAGAGTACTAACCAACAATTATAGCTTGTAAGCAGTGGTGGGATTCAAATAATTTAACAACCAGTTCTCTGCTCTAATGATTTCTTCCAACAACCAGTTCACCAAACTGCTCAGAAAGTTAATAACTGGTTAACTTTCTCCCAAACTGGTACGAAGTCAATAAGAAACCATGTAAGTCAATAACAAACCATGTTTTATTTATTGATCCCATTTCCACTTTTGGCACAATGTGTGAATCTATGAAAAAACCTATTTGTCTTATAAGTCTCTGTTCAAGTCTTATTCATAATTTTGCCTTAAAGACTTTCAGTACTGTTTTGAGATATAAGCAGAATATCCATTTATCTCTTCAGCCATTCATTTTTCAATAACATGAGGACATAAACCTTTTGTTTAGAAGGCACCAATCTAATCCCAACTCTTTTTGTGAATATACCCAGCAGAGAGCTTCTAACCATTTTCACTAAAAAGCTCAGTTGGTTCTCACTTAGTAAAATAGATGGTATTTTTAAAAATTATTTATATAAGCACACCTTGACTTACAGCCACAATTGTGCCCAAAATTTCCATTGCTAATCAACAGTTGCTAAGTGAATTTTGCTCCATTTTATAATTTTTCTTGCCACAGTTGTTAAGTGAATCACTGCGGTAATGCAGTTGTTAAATGAATCTGGCTTCCCTATTGACTTTCTTTGTCAAAAGTTCTCAAAAGATTATCACATGTACCTGGGACACTGCAACAGTCATAAATATATGCCATTACCAAGTGTCTGAGTTTTGGTCACATGATCATGAAGATGCTGCAATGAAGAATGGTGATAGACACTTTTTTCAGTGCCATTGTAACTTTGAATGGTCACTAAATGAAGTCTATCTGTATTTCATTTTTCAGGATAACAGTTTTTACTATATTTGTATAAACAATTATAATAGCAATAGCAATAGCACTTATATGCCGCTTTATAGTGCTTTACAGCCCCTCTAAGCGGTTCTACAGAATCAGCCTATTGCCCCCAACAATCTGGGTCCTTATTTTATCCACCTCGGAAGGATGGAAGGCTGAGTCAAACTTGCATTTGGTGGGATTTGAACAGCCAATAGTCAGCAGAACTGGCCTGCAGTACAACACTCTAACCACTGCGCCACCACGGTAAAAATATAATAAACTTTCTGAATCACACAGTCAAGCTTCTGTGATCTTTTCCCCATGAACTTGGTGGTAAAGGCCTTGTGGAACATGAGGAAGGATTCAGCTGAGCAGGTTTTGAGATGGATTTCATTTGCTTGGTTTCCTAGATCAGAATTTTATAGTGTCTCAATTTTAAACCTGTCATTTTAATGTGTTTATACATTTTCCATCGCTGCCATGAATTTACTTCATTTTTATTTTATAACTCTTTTTGTTTTTATGCTGTTTGAATACAGTGTGTTCATCTATTGTATACTTCTGCAACTCTATTGAGCTAATAGAAATATTAAAATAAATAAACTATTTTAAAAAAATCTGTCATATTTTAATTACTTATGGCATTCACTTTACTTTGATATCAATAAAGTAAACTTTATTCTTTTTATGTTTGCAGAACTGAAAAAATTAATAAAATTCAGATCATCCCTGGAAGTTTAGAAATTGCTGTTGATTGGCTACCTTTGGAGCATTCAAGTATGAACTCATTTTATAAAAAGTCTACAATGCATAAACTGTCCAAGAAGACAGTGCATATTTTTGTTTTAAGATTGTTCCTTTATAATTTATGTGCTTTAAATTGATTTTTGTGGTTGCTGTGCTCAAGAGCAAAGTTTAGGCAGAAGATCAAGAGACATATAGATTTTACTTTGTTAATAGGGCAGCAGTTGAAATCATGATACTATGCATAAAATATATAATGGGATTTTCTAATGAAAGGTGGTTAGAAAGACTACATTTTCTAATTCAAAATGTGCCCTCTTCATGATCATATTTTATATTTTGTCATCTATTTCTAGAACTGGGACACTATTTTAAGAAATACTTTTCTAAATTTCTTAAATATAAGCTGAAATACTGGCTTGATTTCCACTGTTAATAGTATTTTTTTCATTTCAACTTTCAATTCCACATAAATATACATGATAGAAACTTTGTGGCTTAAAGCATTGTATATTATTGGGTTCCCCCACTGGAGGATCACGTATAATAAACAGAATAGAGAGTGATGAATTTCAGTGGCAATCCCTCTGTCATAAAATCATTGTACACCTCCAGTGGTTATTTGGAACAATGTGGAAATTATACATGTGACAACAGGGGGAAAGAAGAAATTTCTCCTTTCATTCTGCTGACAGATACCTGGTGTTTTATATATATGTTTTCTGAGGTTCTTGCGGGTATTTGTATGTGGATTCGGGTTTTCTCCCACATAAGATTGGAAGTATCTAGGCAACGTTTCGATGAAGTCTCATTCATCATCTTCAGGCTTGTGTCTTCTGCTCTGTGCTTCTCAGAGTAATGTGAGCTTGCAGCTGCTTCTTCCTTTTAACTGCTAGTGGGAGTGTGACTTGATTGGGTGGGGGCTTGGCTGTGTTCTGATTGGGTGGGGGTGTGTTCTCATTGGTTGGGGGTTTGGCTGTGTTCTGATTGGTTGGGGGGTTGGCCGTGTTCTGATTGGCTGGAGGTGTGTTCTGTTCAGGTGGGGGCTTGGTTGTGCTCAGGTTAGTCTTAGTTGCTGGGGGATTTGAGCTGGTGAGCTGTGATCCTGCTGTTTGGCTTCGCGTTCGTGGTCATGCCGCATCTTCGTGGTGGGTGTCAGTTCGCTTCATGTATGGGTCAGAGAGGTTTGAAACGGGTAGTGATGCAGCTGCAGTGCAGCTTCTGGTCCGTGGTCGTGTCTCATCTTTTCTGTGGGTGTGAGTCTGCTTTCTACGTGGAAGTGTGGTGGTAGCATCTTGTGTGGCCCTCGTGGGTATTGGTCTGGTGTCATTCTTCATGTTAGGTCCTCGTCTGTTCGTGAGGGAAGTTTTCCAAATGGCTGGTAGGTGGGAGGTGTCATCTCGTTTATTCATGCTGTGTGGGCGTTTTTCTATCTCTATGGCTTCTCTGATTATTCTGTTGTTGAAGTGTTCGGTTTTGGCGATAGTTCTGGTATTTTTAAAGTCAATCTCATGTCCTGTGGCTTTGAGGTGTTGGACCAGGGAAGAGGTCGGTTCTTCTTTTTTGATTGAGTTCTTATGTTCTTCAATGCGTGCACTTATTCTTCTATTAGTTTGTCCGATGTATGTGGTGGGCCAGGCGGTGCAAGGGATTTCATATACTCCTTGGTTTTCTAATTCAATTTTGTCTTTAGGGTTTCTTAGGATGGTGGCTATTTTTCTGTTTGTGCAGAATGCTGTTTTAATGTTGTGTTTTTGGAGGATCTTGCTGATTTTTTCTGTAGTGCCTTTTATATATGGGAGGAGGGCTTTGCCGTTTTCTTGTTCTCTGTCTTGGATTTTGGTTGGGGTTTCTTTTTGGATTAGGTGGGTAATCTTCTTTCTTTGGAATCCATTGGCTGTTAGTATGTTAGTGAGAGTGTGTAGTTCGGTTTTTAGGTGTTGTTCGTTGGCTAAGCATTTTGTTCTGGAGATGAGTGTCTTGGATATGGAATTGATCTGTGCTGGGTGGTGGTGTGAGAGTGCGTGTAGATAGAGGTTTGTATGTGTTTTCTTCTGGTAAATGGTGTGTCCTAGGGAGCCATTGGATTTTTTGTATACCAAGACATCTAGGAAGGAAGTTGATTGTTAGCTTCTGTTTCCATGGTGAATTGTATTTTGGGGTGTAGGCTGTTGAGGTGTGTGAGGAAGTTGTTAAGTTTTTCTTTCCCATGTGGCCAGATTATGAAGGTGTCATCTACATATCTGAGCCAGAGTTTGGGTTTGTGATCATATTTTTCTATAGCTTGTGTTTCAAAGTGTTCCATGTAGAGGTTTGCAATGGCAGGTGAGAGGGATGATCCCATGGGTGGTCTTTCTATTTGTTTGTATTTTTGTCCATTGTAGGTGAAGTATGTATTGGATAGGCAGTGGTTGGTCAGATCTAGGATGTGCTTGGGGGGGGTTGTATTTGTTTTGGATGGCTGTCAAGGCTTCTTTTATTGGCACTTGGGTGAAGAAGGATACAACATTGAAGCTCACTAGTAGGTCGCTGGGTTGTAAGTTTTGTTTCTTTATGATCTCGATGAACTGGAATGAGTTTCTTACATGTGAGTTGATGGATTCTGCATAGGGCTGTAGTTGTTTGGCGAGAAATTTGGCTAGGTTTTGTAGAGGTGAGCCCATGGAGCTGACTATTGGTCTAAGTGGGGTTCCATCTTTGTGTATCTTGGGGAGACCATAAAGCCTAGGGCATCTGGATGATTTCTCTCTGGGTATGATTCTTTGCTGGATTTCTTCGCTGATGAGGGAAGCTTTTATTTTGGATCTGGTGGTTTTTTCTAGGTAGGTGGTGGGGTCTGTCTTTAGGGGTTTGTATGTGGGGTCTTGGAGTACGTTGGTTAACTTGGTTTGGTAGTCAGATGTGTTCGTGACCACTGTCACGTTGCCCTTGTCTGCTGGTAGTATTATTATGCTGGTGTCTTCTTTCAGGTTAAGTAGTGCAGTTTGTTCTTCTTTGGATAAGTTGCTTTTGGGTGGTTTGCTAGTGCAGAGGATGTTCGTGATTTCGAGTCTGATTCTATTAGCATCATCAGGGTTGGTTTTGGTCAGGCTGGTTTCAACTCCGCATATGATGGTTTCTGTGGGGATGTGTTTGGGAGCGACAGCAAAGTTGAATCCTTTTGAAAGGATCTTAGTTTCAGCTTCGGTGAGGATCTTGTCTGAGATGTTGTGCACTGTTTGTTTCATGTGTGGCTGTGAGGGGGGAGGAGTTTGTTTCTGACGTTGTTGTAGTTTTCTGAGTTTGTTGGTGTGTGTGTCTGTCTTGAGGGTGGTCTGTGTTTCGGCTCTCCAGACAGCGAGTTGTTTGGATTTGTCCCAAAGTAAGGGGTGAATCTTGTTGTTGAGTCTGAGGTGAAGTGTGAGGAGATCTTTGTTGATTTGGTCTAGGAGAAATCTTTTTGTGTGAAGTTCATTTCTAATTAGGGCCAATTCTGTTCTTTTTAGGATGCGTTTGGTGGCTGCTGTGTTGGTGTGGAATTTCAATTGGAAGCTTGTTTTTCTTTTGTTTTTCTTTCTACAGACTCTGTAACATCATCTTTTATACCAATCAAGCCCTTCAAAAATGTCAAGGACTATCAACCAACCGTAGAAGTGGAAGAATTTGTTCAAGAATCTACCAAATATTCTCAGGCTTATAAAACATATAAAAACCAAATGTATATCTATCCCAAGCATCTGAAATATGATAACCAAAAATGCTTCAACAAGGTATGACAATCAATAGTACAACGGCCAAGCAAACTTTAGCATATTTAATTAAAAATTGTCTTCATAAGTTCTATAGGCAATTTGGAATACAGATAGTCCCCAACTTAGAACTGTTTTTAAAATTACCATTCAAAGTTATAATAGCACTGAAAAAAAGGGCTAGGACTTATGGCTAGTCTTCACACTTACAACCAGTGCACTTTCACCCCAATCACATGATCAAAATTTGAGTGCTTGGCACCCGGCATGTATTTTATCATAATTGCAAAGTCCCAGGGCCATGTAATTGCCATTTGTGTCCTTTGCCAGACAGCTTCCAAGAGGCAAACTCAATGAGTTAAGCCAGATTCACTCAAGTGCAGTGATTCGTTAACAACCATGTCAAAAAAGATTGTCATGCCAGGCATGACTTACATAGCTATCACATTGATTAGCAATGGAACTTCTAGTCCAATTGTGGTCATAAGTTGAGAAGTACCTGTACAATGCCGGAGTGGTTTAACCTATGGGTTATCCCAGTGAGAGAACAGTAGGTAGGCAACAGAAGTAATGAATGCTTTTTCTGATTCATTTGTTTATTGTTCCCTATTGAAGACCATCAACTTATCCTGTTAAATCACCTAAGGCTGATTTTTCCAACATTGAGAACATGAAACTTATTGTTTTTAAAATCTCAGTCATGTGTACATATTTATATTAAAACAACCTGGTTGATCTTATTGCTCGTATATGAATTACTATTCCAGATGGACATTTTTCTCTTTTTGCTTCCCTCAAATTAACCTTTCATGGCTATTTCAATATTAAAATTGAATGACAATATAGTAGGTACTATAAAGTAATGGAATATGTACTAGTGATTCATACTTACAGCAAAATAGGTTTCATTGAAAACCTGGGACTTGTTTGAAAGCCATCCATATGAAAATTAAACAGAAGCAGATTGTCCAGTTTTTATTTTCTGTTTTTTTTCTTGGTAATCATTCACATTTATATGCGCATACATGCACATGCTATCTTTTAAATTATTTTTGAAGCTTAAAGTCTTCAGTATATTTTCATATGTACTAAATTCTTAATATATTTACTTTTCAAATAATTCAGCTGAATTGAAGTATCATGAAGAAGTCAAATCTTTCCATTTTTCCACTCGGGAATTTATTTCACTTCTGGGTTTTACTCTCAGCTGGCAGCATTATGACAGTTCTGGAAAAGACTGCATGTTTCACAGAACTCTTAAGTGGAAAGCTAGTGAGCTTATTTGCATTTGTATTACAGGCACGGAATATAACAGTGTGTATTGAATTTAAAAACTCAGATGAAGAAGGAGCCAAGCCAGTGAAGGTGAGTCAATATGAATTCCAGCTGCAGCATAATATGGTGGAGCAGATTTCTTTGGATGCCCTGTGGTGAAGTGATTGTGATCTATAATTTTTACAAAATCATCAGTCTATTATTTTCCATCATTTCCATAACAGTTGTTTATAACATCAGTCAATGCAGGGCTTTTCTGGCAAATGCTAGTTCTGCTGACAAGATTTTATGCAACATGATGAAATGTAAAATTCTTAATAAATCTCAGTGTACTTTCATAACTGAGGTAAACATCATGTTGATGAAGGTGAATGATCATCAGGAGAAGTGCCAAATTCAGGTGTTCTGCATACCGTGTATGAATGTATTGACCATTGTCACTAGCTTCTGCGTTTCAGAGAACTATATAAGCTCATCAAAGTTTTTTTGTGTTCGTAGCATTTTTTTTGTCTTTTCCTTTTGATGGAGTAGGTAGATGGAATCTATTGCTGGAACTACTAGATAAAAATATTATTAATAGTTATTTAAGAAGTAAAATTAATATATTTACTAATTTGATTCTTGTCATTTTTGACTTCTGATGTCATCAATTTTCCTCTTGGTATATACCATGTAGATCAGTTTTTTTACACTCTGTGTACAATCATGTAATCTTGTAGGGTGGCCTAGAAAAAATATTCCCTCCAGTTTAAAAAAAATACTCCAAAATCTTGTGAGTTTGCTTGTCAGATCTTTTTTTGGCATTCTCCACATGAAATCTCATTAGATTTCAGACATTTTTAATTTTTTTATATGTTTTTGGCCCAAAGGTTCTGCGGTGCTATGAGGCTGAAAAAGTCTTCTAAGATATGACTTCAGAATCAGTTATTTCTAGTAAAGACACAAAACTTAAAGCAATGTCTCTTTAAACAGTGTATCTATGGGAAGCCTGGTGGACCATTATTTACATCAGCAGCTTATACAGCTGTGCTACATCATTCACAAAACCCTGATTTCTGCGATGAGGTCAGTCTTCTTTATCTATAATTTTACATGATGTTATAATAGACAACTATATCAAAGATATTTTTGAAAAAAATAGGTTGTTAAGGACATTAGTGTTGCCTTTAATTGTTTGCAACTGAGGACAACAACTCCACTACATAATATGTCTTGAAAACAACTCTTAGAGCACAATAACTCAACATACTGACCCATAAGAACAGCCAGGTTTTCAGTTGCTTTCAAAAGGCCTTCTTGGTAGGGTCATCATCTTTCGGAGGTAAGTTACTCTACAGGACAACATGTCAGAAGGCATATTTCCTCTGCTCCATCAGATGTCATTATGTGATAGAAGGAATTCAGATGATGCAAAATCTATTGATGGGGAGCAGTTTAGTAAGACACAAGAAATCACAAGAAATCATAGAAATAGCATGACTGCCTCTACAAGGAGCTTTTAATTTATATTATTTCTTTATTTTTCAAATAACTCTCAAGGTAGAAAAATAACCCACACACCTTCTTCCTCCTATTCCCAGAACAACAACCCTAAGAGGCGGGTTGAGCTGAGAGAGAGTGACTGGTTTTCATGGCTAAGGCAGGAATTGAACTCATAGTTTCCCACTTTCCATCCTGGTGCCTTAACCATCAGACCAGTTGGCTCTTGAACATAATAAGCCTGTAATAGAAGAGTGTAAATGCCACCCATTTCCTCAATTTTTCAAGTTGGCTTTATAGATGAAATGGTATACCATGGGCATGCCAATAGCTACTATATTCTGGACGAATTGCAGCTTCCATGTTGAATACATTGCAGTTATTCAAATAGGGAAGACTAGAACATAAGCAACCATGAACAGAATCATCCAATATCAGTAGTGGGAATCATTGGAACACTATATTAATTTGTACAAACACCATTTTTGTCACAGCTACCACCTGCTTCTCAAGGAGAAGCCAAAAATCCAGGAAATTTCCCAAACTATGCACTAATTCCTACTGAGGGATACATAATGTAAGGTCTCTGATAATGGAAGGCCTTAAAAGCCAGAATAACTCAGTGTTGGATTGAGTCAATGAGTTCATGCAAATCTTAAACAGGAGTGGGAAGAATGTAGAGCGCTAAGTAACTCTGAAAACCAGGTGCCTAGGACTTGATCTTTTCTCCCACCTACCAACACTGAATGGACCAACCTTAGAAGAAGAAAAAGAAGTATTGCAGCACCATGCCTTTCTATTCCTACACCCCTAAATCAGAAGAATATATATATTTAATATTATCAAAAGCTTCTACTAGATCCAAGTAGGCAAGAATACCATTTCCATTTTGAAGTCTGAATACTATTTCCAGGCCTGAATCTGATTGAAAATGGTTCATATAGTAAGTTTCTTCAAGTTCTCTGAAAACGTAGGCTGAACACCTTCTCCAGAACCTTCCCTAAAAGAGAAGATTGAAAACTAGACAAAAATATATCCAGGTACCTGATGATTTCTTGAACAAAGTGTGGACCACTATTTCTTTAAGGCAGATGGGATTGCCTATTTGCTCAAGGAACAATTGACCATTGCCTGTACTCACTATACTTTACCTCCTAGGCAGAGTTAACCAAGAAGATTATGAGTCTAGTATATAGGTGACTCAGCTTACAGTTCTGAGGATTCTATCCATTTCCTCAAGACCAAGAGGCTCAAATACTCCTCAGATATTCTAGCAGATTATTGTTCTGATCCAACCCTCAAACAAACGCAGCAACTCAAACCTTCATAGCTTTAATCTACAAATAACTTCTTTGTAGATAAAAGATGGCTTGCAGCCAATTAGTCCAATCAGAAAAGCCTTGACAGAATTCTTCAGATAAGCTGAGTCTCTACACACAATGCTGAGTCCTTAGAGTGTTTTTGCCTTTTGCAAAGGCAAAAACCTTTTGAAACCAGGCTTATATTCCCTAGAAGGAGGGACCATTATGTTGCATCCTTACTCCTGAGTTGCCTGTGCTGCTCCAGCTGTTCTCTTCTATGAATCATCCTGAGCTCACGTACACTTGGCACAGACTCTTCGGGAACCTCCTCATCACTGCTGCCAGCTCCCACAATCCCTGAAGGCAGCAGTCGACTCCCTGATGGTCCTGGCCCCTCATCTGAGTCTTCGCTCTCCTCCACTGTTTGCACCTGCTGCCAGCTAACCACAACAATTATACTTCAGATTACATCAAAGGCTCTGCACAGTCAGAATCCAAATACAAGTCACCATGTGGCTTGAATACTTCTTACAATGACCTTCCAAGGTGGATTTATCTCCCCAGGAGGATCTGAGCCAATCCTAAACAAGTCCACTAGCTAATTAGCTGCATATGTGTTACAAGCAGAACAATGTTTATGTTTTGCTACTCTTTTCACCATGAAGTAGTTCTTAATAAAGCCTCTTTGATGTGTTTAGTAGGACAAGTGTTATTTTCTCAAGTGATGCTCTAGAGACCTGAACCACGGGATTCACAGGCAGAGAAGGGCTATAACTACCATTCCCTCTCATTCCAAGTGGTGAACAAGACTTCTCACACTGAAGACAAAGCAAAATAAACTACAAAAAGATAAAAAATAAGTTAAAAGCAGATAAAAACATCTAAAAGACAGTAATAATAAATATTAAAAATCAAATAGATAATCCCTTAAGAGCTTATAATAGAACAGAAAGAAAAAAGATTTTTTTTAAAATGAAAGGATTATGGATGGATATAAAAAAGATGCAGCGGGAGATAAAGGGTAAGGCAGAGGGAACAATTAGTCTGTGCAAAAATGCCAGAAAGACATATAGGATTCCAAGAGAGAAATATAAAGAATCCCCCCCAAAAATCAATAAATGATGAAATTCTAAAAAGACTGAGAGATGATGGATAGAGATATAATCACCTATAATACAGGGATTATATTGAAAACCAATAGAAATAAGTGGAAGTTTAAATTGGGAAAATATTACCACATATATAGATATATAATAGAATTTATTACAACCATAAATATATTAAGATTAAGAGATGTAAGACTAGGACTAGGTATATCTAAATGTATTATTATGGTTAATAGGATGTAAAAATATATATTGGAAAATATAGTTTTCAAGGGCTATAAATTCAGGGGATTTATAGATACAATCTTGGGACTGATTAAAGTTTATTGACAACTGGTTGTGTTTATAGAAAATTGAGATATTGAAAATATGGTGGAATACTGAGTGATATTTATAATATTAAAATATTAGTGACTTAACAGAAGTTAATAAGTATATTGTATAAAGAAATGTTATTGATGTTTACATATATTTTGGAGAAAGTGATAAAAATCATAAAGAGAGAATAGTATTGCTTAAAGATAAAGAGGTGAATATAGAAGAACTCCAACAAATGGGAAAAATAAAGAAGTGTAAATTGGGAAAATGGTATAATATAGACTGATGCATAAAATAATATGTTATAATTATAATGAGTACAGTAAGGTTAGAAGTTAGAAGTTAAAAATTCTGTATATGTAACTGTATTATTACTGTGAGCACTGTGTGAAAAATATGTTAAACCAGTCATTACATTCTCCACAAAAATGTTGGTTGTTAAAGGAAAACTGAATATAAAACATATACAAAAAACTCCTACAAGACTCCTCACACTATGCATCAGAGACTCAAGAATAGTGGGGATCAGTTACAGAGAGTGATTCCCATAGACAACTGACATTGGTATTACCCAAAGACAAAAATTATGTGAAATTGCAATCCCTGCTATATATTAGGACCTCGGTGACTTAGGTCAAGTCTATGGCTGCCTCTATTCCAAAACCACTTATCTTCATGTACACTGACAGCAGGTCTAGATCAGTGGTGGGATTCAATTTTTTTTTACTACCGGTTCTGTAGGCATGGCTTGGTGGGAGTGGCAGGGGGGAAGGATACTGTAAAATTCCCAGTCAGAGGTGGTATTTGCTGGTTCTCCGAACTACACAAAATTTCTGCTACCAGTTCTCCAGAACTGGTCAGAACCTGCTGAACACCACCTCTGGTCTAGATATTCCACAGCATTAAGGTAACTTCAGAACAACAATCCCATTTGATATCAAGAGCTCAGTTTAATATACAGAATCTTATTTATTTGCAGAGAGGTGTCTTTGTAAGCCACCTACAGATATGTGACTATGGCTGGTATTTGTCCTGAAGCCTGAATAAGCACATTACTTATGGGATCAAGATTGGTGTCTCTGTTAAAGTCCAAATAAGCACATTGCCCCTCCCTCCCCCTCCTATGTCAACCTTGGTAATATATTGTCCTTGGTAATCCTGACATATATTATCTGTAATGAATTCCTTTTGACCTTCTTGGCCTTTAAGAGCTCTTATAGAATAATAGTCCAAGATCAGAATTAGGCCTCACTACCTTCTCTTTGCTTTCATTCAGTTAACATTTAAGATGAATGTAACGTTTTACATTTCAGATAAAAATTGAACTGCCGACACAACTTCATAAGAAACATCATATTCTATTTTCATTTTATCATGTTACCTGTGACATAAATGCAAAAGCTAATACCAAAAAGAAAGAGGCCCTGGAAACCTCAGGTATCTATACTGGATTTTTGCTCATACTCATTGTCTTTATTATTCCTGTATACTTTCCCTGATTTAGGTCAAGCATTTGAGACAATATCTGTTTTCTGATAACTGTTATTTCTTTATATTTAAAGATATCAAAATGTTTTAGTGTTAACATCTATTTTCAATACAGTGGGATATGCTTGGCTGCCTTTGCTAAAAGATGATCAACTAATATCTCGAGAACATAACATACCAGTGGCAACCATTCTACCTCCCTCTTATTTAAATCTTCAGGATCCTGCAGTTGGGAAGGTATTGTTTTACTTCTTTGTTTTATTCCTTGAAAAGCAATCTTATAGCTCTATCACATACATACCATGTCATCCATAGGATTTTGTGCATATCTGAATCCTAACTTGTTTGATTGGAACCAAGAAAAAAAACTGATGATAAATAAATAAATGCATCAATACATACATCCTTTTCTTATAACAGACCGTTCTGAGTATTTATAATTTTATATGAAAATACCTTCCTTTATCATACAGTTTTGATTACTTGATTTTTCTTTCATATTTTGCAATGATTGTTTGTTTGTTTTAGAGGATTTGTATGGCCATCCATTCACTTTCAGTGACCCTAGGCAGCTTACAAAAAATAAAAAACCCAATATAAAAAGAGTAAAAACAATAATCTTCCATCCCTCTGATAACAATAAGCAATGAAATAAACCACTTGACAAGCTCAGTCCTGCCTTGGTTTCACAGGCCCGTGACAATAGCTGGCAATGTAAAGACACATGTTTTTATATAGCTTGTTAAAATACATCTCTTATATGTATAAGCTTATAACTGATACATCTCTGTAATATGATGGACTGCTGTTCGTTATGAATATCTGCAAATAAATACATCATTTCAATTTGGAAAATTTGTAAATTAGGCACATGTGCACGATCAAATTTGCATTGCATACAACATAACGAAATCTATTTTTTTAGTGTTTTAGAAATTAGAAAAACTCTGAAATGCCCTTGGAATTATTATTATTATTTATAGTGAATTGAGCAATTTCACTTTCTACGTAGAATAATGGTGGGAAAAATATATCCATTGTTTATTCACATACTGCAAAAGCATTTGATTTCATGATACGTTTCTTGACTGATTTGTTGGAAGAAATCAACAAAAGCAGGTTTCTTACTGAACAGAATTTTTTAAAAGTCTAGCTATTATGGCTTTATATAAAATGTAGAATTCACATCCAATAAGGACTCTTTTGAGCCAGTATGCAAAATATGGAACCCTAATAAATTAAATACATTCTGCTGTATACACAAAGAGAGAAAGAAAGAGACAGAGACATAGAGTGGGGGAAAAAAAACAACTAATACAATCTATAAATGATGATACTAATGATGATACTATGCTAGTGCTAAAATATTTTTTAGTGTTTTAAACATAAAGTAGGATCATATGCTAGAAGAAGAATCCATTTCCGCTAACTTGAGTGTTTCTTTTTTCACAGCAGAGTGGAAGTGATGTTAGATGGGTGGATGGAGGAAAGCCCCTCTTCAAAGTGTCACTGTTTATTGTATCTACTGTTTACACTCAGGTAAAACATTGTCTATACTAAGGGGGGGGGGGGAGTAGAAGCAAAAGAAATACAAAGTTTTTAAAAAGTAGTTAATGTCTGTGCGTGAGTTTCATGCAGAATTTTTTATTTGGATTCCAAGGATTCCAAACCTTTAGTTATTCTGACATAGAAAATCACAATCAATGTGATACTTACAGAAATATTTAGGAAAGATTATCCTTAAATATTCAAAACAACACACAACAAATCTGACATATTTGATTTTTTCAGCAAAAACAGTCACATTTAGAATGTAAATAAAATAATAAACAATCCATGGCTATATTTTTGGAGCCATGTATTACAGTTCTAACAAAAGACAAAAAAACGATCAGTAGCCAGCACTTCATCTGCAATCTACCTAAGTTTTCAATTTTCATAAATTTGGTTTATTTTTTTAACAAAAAAGATGCAGTAACGCTGCAAAGAACTGAATACTTCTGTATACCTGGATTAGCCCAGAGGTCAATAACCTTTGTTATGTGCCCTTATACGATTTCATGTAATAGGACAGGTGCCCTGCTTATTTTTTAAATGTATCATTGTTTTAATAATAATTATAATTAACTGATATCATCAAAGTTCAGGAAGTTTTGACTTTTAACAACTTTCTTAAACTTCATTTGATAGCAATTAATTTTGCAAGATTTGGCAATCTTTCAAGTTTTTAGAAAGTAAATTTTAAATTTTTAAAATTTAATTTTGGAGTGCACAATTGAAGAGTCATGTGTACAATGGCCATTATATTTCTAAGCCGAGTCCCTTATTATTTCAGGCCTCAGATCAGTATTTAATATAACTCATATTGAAACAAAACATAAACACTGTATTTAGACAAACTGCAGAGTGTTCTTCTATAGATCATTGTTATTCTTATTGCACAGATGCCACACTGGATTTATTTATATTGGCTGATTGATGGAAAAGAGAATGGAGCAGTTTTGGAAATAAATTTGGCTTAGATTGTATCAAAAGTGGAAATATTTTATTTATTTTAAACAATTGCTGAAAAATGTCTCTTAGGGGACTGATTTACTTTTAATGTTATCTGCTAACTATTGCACAGTTATTTTTTTTAAACTCTGCATGCCACATTTGTTGAGACTAACCCGTCTTTTTTATATACATTTGCTATAGGATCCATATCTGAATAGATTTTTCCTGCAGTGCCAGAAAAGAAAGAGAGATTTCTCTCAGCCACCTACCTCAAGTTTTATCATCTCCTGTAAGGTAAGTTAAATAAGAAATTATGTAGATATTGATTGTGCTAATGGATGAATATTATATATTTTAATTCTCCTTTTGAATTGTGTGCATTTGTTAGCATAATGCTAAATTATACATTGCTAAAGAGTGCAGAGTAGCTGAAAATAAAATTGACTGAACATAAAAATAAACATTAACCCAAAAGCCAGCACGTAAAATTATTTATGAACTCCTATATATCTATGTTCATTATTGATAGTATGGATTTTTAAAATAGAAAAAGTCATTTCCAGAGGTATGCCATAGATCACCAGAAACATGGTTTTAAAAACAGAATTTTGATTGCATATTTTTTCATCTTTATTATCTATTTTTTTTCTTTTTGTCATGACTAAGCATTGTTTTTTCTTGGATGATAAATTCTGCATTATATTTGTCAAACTTAATTTCACTGAGGACCGCATCAGGGTTGTATATGACCTCAGGTGGCTGTGGTGGGCGTAGCCATGGTGGGCGAGGCCAGCTCAATATCACGCATGTCAAGGGCATCTGTGTTGGCCTGAGTGCTCTTGCCAGCAAAAATGGGCTCCCAAGCTCTGTTCCTGGCTGTGACGGCTTCCTGCAACCCTCTGCTAGCGAAAAAGCTCAGGAAGGTCACATGCAGCCCTTGCATATGGCCCTCACGAGCTCTGTTTTCATTGGCAGAGGCATCGCAAGCTGGTCCTTTGCTGTTTCCAGGGAGGCCCCACAGGCCAGATCTAAGCACCCCGCAGACCGGATTCAGCCCATGGGCCTTGAGTTTGACATCCCTGTTCTACACAATGTTTAGAGTAATTTTAGCATTATTTATATAATCATGATTTAAAAGGTATAATTAATGCCACTGTAGCCATTTCCATGCTGAAGAGATCTTCTTGATTGTTTTTTCTATGTTTGCAAAAAGTTCAGTTTTGCAAATGTAGAACTAGACCCAACCATTATGTTACTACCTTATTCTTCAAAGCAAATAACTGATAGTAATTAACTAAACCCCTTAGATGGTCAATTTACCATATGTTGCTGGCTCAAATAGGAAATAATTCCTATAGCTATTATTCCAAGTATCCTCTTAAAAATTCTATTTCTCTCAGGAGACTTTGGTAAACAATTTTTAACCAATATAAGAGATAGAAATAGAAAAGGGCCAAAAACATTTTTTTTATTTATTGATACATTTGATTTATATGCCTGATTTATATTTTCATTGGGATCTCAAGGCAGCCTATTACACATAATTTTGTCCCCACAGCAATTACAATCTGAGATAAATTCATCCAGACATTTCATGCTCAGTTCTGGACTTGAATCACCTATAATCACCATTAAAGATTATCCAATTTGTGAACATAGTTTATAATACAGAAGATTTTGATGTATATTTCTAACAATGTCCAAAAATAGATTCGATTAGTTTAAATCAACAACGACGTTGCACAACTCTATAACTGTTTCCATGAACTTATTTAAAATGAAGGTTGAGTTATATGTAACCTGAGTTAAACTGCTTTTACTTTGAAATATATTTGACATCTCCACCAAATCAGAGTTCATTCATGATTAACATTTCTATGTAATTTGTATGACAACAAGATGGAAATGGTTTGCCATTCCCTTATTTTCTACTCAATTTCCCCAATTAGTCTAATCTCCTGGAATTTCCTGGTGATTTCTTAGTCCAGAATCAGGAACTCCAGCCAATTTAGCTTTAGCAAGACTTTGCCTAGGCTGGCTCAGTGCTGCCACCTGGGGTACCCTGATTTAAATGAATTTATAACAGTCATGGAAGTTTACATCATTCTCTGTTCATGCTTGATTTCTTAATCAGAATTTACTTAAAATTGAAAAGATCCATGTCGTTGTGAATTTTCTTCCTGTGATTCTGAACCAGCTGTTCTGGGTTCTTATACAAAACAAAGAGGATGAGGTAACAACTACTGTGACCAGGTATTTGCTGTTCTACTTTCTGTTCGTTGTCATTTAGTTTGCCTTATGAAACAGTTATTGAAATCTATTTAATTGTGGTCAAACCATCTTAACCTTAAGTGTTTGTTTCAAAAAAAAAAAAACACATTCAACCAATTATGCACTTTCCTTTTGTCTTCAATAACTCAAGACCACTTAACATATGCTAAAGAAAAGTTAATTCTAGAGAATTTTATGGAACTCTGTTTGAAGTAGCAAAGGAGTCTCTCTCTCTCTCTCTCTCTCTCTCTCTCTCTCTCTCTCTCTCTCTCTCTGTATGTGTGTGTGCGCGCGTGCATTTATGGGACTTTAAGTTGGTCTTCGCTCCTGGCATCTCCCTGGGCAAGTCTGTGCAATTTCCTTGGAAGCATTTTTAGAACTGGTTTATTATTTCTAGGGGTGAGGGAGAGTGGCCAGGACAAAGAAACCCAGCAAGTATCTGTGCCTAAATCAAGATTAGAACTCCTAATGTGGATTTCCCATTCCTACACTTGAAGCTTAACCATTAGATTACTCTGGCTAGAGAACAACATATGCAATGCATAATTCAACACCCAAAAAAGGAGGACAAATCCCTAGAACTCAAGGCTTTTGCACATTATTTAGAAACACTCCGTGTGTTTAGACTGTAAAATAGGGCCATTTTTAAAATAATAATAATAATAATAATAATAATAATAATAATAATAATAATAATAACAACAACAACAACAACAACAACTGAAATAAATAGACTTACTTACATTTAGTTGTATTACTTGTGAAATGAAACTGCCATCTTCTTTATCAAATTATACTTTTATTTTACAGGGTCTTTGCTGATATTGTGGCTAAGTTCCATGAAGAAAAATTAGATCACTATATTCAATCATATGTAAAGGTAAGAATATTTAACCTGTTCTTATCTCTTTATAAAATTTCAGATTTATGCCAGAATTTATTTTTTAAAGCCATCTTGGCAAAGCATCATGTGTTAACTGCCTCTGTAAACTACCCGTGGTAATTTATCAGTTGATTCTCTTACAAAAGTTTGCATGAGGCAATACAATATACAGTGAACACAAACAGTAGTTTGTAATAAAGAGAGCATTGTTGGAAATTGTTCTGTGTGCTTTCAAATAGCTTGTGCATAATATTTTTTAGCCTTTTTATTATTTTCTCAAGAACTTTTTTATTGTCTAAATTGCAGTGGTTTTGTACCTGTTCATGGTATGTGGAACATTTTTAATCTTCCAGCATGATATTTTGCACATATTTGTGAATTGGCACTGCTTGTTCTGTTTCTTTCCATTCAGTTTTCATTTTAAATCCTTCATTGTACTGAATCAATGTGTATTAAGATTAGTTATAGATACTTTAAAGGAATATCCTTGTATGCAGTATCAGTAAAAATGCCTTTTGAACTAGTAAAGTGCTAAAAAGCTACTAAAATATTTGGCACACTTTGCACAGTGAAAGAAACTAAGCAAAACTTGATTTTAAGGAGGAAAAACACAAAGCAGATTAAGACAATGTCTTTGTTTTGTAAAATCAGATTAAAAAGTAAACTCATCAATATTTTTAAATTAATTAGTTATCATTGGGTATGATATTAAAAGGGAAAATAAGGAAGTTGTTGATATCCACAATTTCAGAGTTGCATTTAATGTATGTTTAAAATAGGGATGTGGTGACTCATTGGCTTGTCAAACAGAAAGGTTGGCAGTTCGGCGGTTCAAATCCCTAGCACCGTGTAACAGAGTGAGCTCCCGTTACTTGTCCCAGCTTCTGCCAACCTAGCAGTTTGAAAGCATGTAAAAATGCAAGTAGAAAAATAGGGACCACTTTGGTGGGAAAGTAACAGCGTTTTGTGCACCTTCGGCATTTAGTCATGCCGGCCACATGACCACAGAGACGCTGGCTCTTCAGCTTTGCAACAGAGATGAGCACCACCCTCTAGAGCAGGAAACGACTACCACATATGTGTGAGGGGAACTTTTACCTTTCTGTTTAAAATAGATTTTAACAATTATTGAAATTATTTCAATTTATACAAGCTCAAATGTTTGCTAACGTTTTTTGATGTCAAAATACTGATACAACCATTTTTATACTTCAAACTCTGATCCTGAATAACTCCCATTTTTTAAAGCAGATTTTGCATTTGTATAGGGGTACTGGAGTTATGATAGGAATAGGGAATTTCTGCTATGATTTGTACAGCTGGATATACAGATAGAATTTGTAATGGATGGAATGCATTGAATCTCTCTCTTTGTGATTGAAAAAGCTACATGTAATTTTCCTTCTAACATTATGTATCCTGTGGCTTACCAATAGTTACAAATAGACATGACAAGAAGCAATCATTTTAAACTATGGAGTGACAGATTCAGTTTAAATAGGGACACTTAATAGAGAATAAAGATAAGATTAACAATGAAAATTAAACATATGAGTATTTTCTGTTCTGGTATTTTAATTTTTTTATCAAAATTACACATAGTACTTTGGTTTTTTTACTTAAAAAAAGAAATAGAGATTTTATCTGTTGCCTGAAAAATGGACTTTCAGATCTATTTGTGTAGAAGTATAGAGTCAAATAGGATGTTTCCATATATAATCTCTTATACATAATTACAGTAATTTAACTACTCAGGTACTGTTGAGCTTCTTGTACACTTATTCATACTATAAGTTAATTTGCTTAACAAATTAAATATTATGGAGAATTGAGGAATGATATCAGTAATGACATGAACGAATCAGAGATGCATGTACATGGCTCCAGATTCATTCCTCAATTAATTTCTGCTTCATTACTTTAAGTGAATGTGTGAAATGCCTTCATTTAAATACAGTGTTTCAGAAGATGTCTCTAGATGTTCTAGCTGTACTATATAACCTGTTTGATCCCTGCAATTCACCATCTGATAATGCTCCATTTTAGCTATTAGCATATGTATGTCACTTTACAATTATGAGAACGTCATTTAAAATATGTAAGAATAATAACAGATTTATAATAATATGATTTTGAGAATTATTCTGAATACTTGTTTTGAAATTTACTGAATTTCACATTAGTAAAATATCACAAATCTGGTAAGATACTGATTGTCCACACATAATTTTTCCATTAGTGTTTTATTGTATAGCTTTTTCTAGAATCATTGTTGTACCAAAGTAGCAAAAATGAAATTGAGTTTTTCATGCTTTCCTTGGGGACTGCTATGAAGATGCTGTAGATTGCTAGTGGAGAAATGGACATATATAAGTCAACATGAATGCTAATTATCAGAACATATATCCAGGGGTGGGATTCAAATTTTTTAACAACCGGTTCTGTGGGTGTGGCTTAGTTGGTGGGCATGGCTTGGTGGTCATGTGACTGGGTGGACATGGCTTGGTGGGCATGTTATTGGCTGGGCATGGCCAACTCAATATCACTCACATCGAGGCACGCATCTCTTCCCCTGGCCTCTCATGACTGTGGGGGTGTTGCAACAGTCGTAAGTTTGAGAAATGGTCGTAAGTCACTTTTTTCAGTACCATTGTAACTTTGAATGGTCACTCCACACAAGCAAAGTACCAACAAAGGAGGGAAAAAAACTCCAGAGAAGTTCCAGAGACAGGAAGTCTAGTCCTGCCAAGAATGTAATAAGGGTTAACAGAGAGGCAGTTTCTGTAAGCAACACCAGAATGTTTCCTTCCTGCCTTCCTTACAGGATTAGGCTAGTAATTTCTTCTAACAACTGGTTCTCCGAACTGCTTAGAATGTTAACAACCGGTTCTAGCAAATAGGTGCAAACTGGTAGAATCCCACCCCTGCATATATCCTTTTCCATTTTCTACAGTCTAAGTGTCATAACATAAATTGAATTTTTTATTGCAATAAAACAACTTCTATTGTGCTTTTTGCATAATGAAATTCCAATCATATTATATTTGGAAATAAGTCTCCCAGAATTCAATAGGCCTTCTCCCAAACAACTGCCTATAACTTCAAGATGTTAATTTTGTTGTTGTATTTTAACATGTCATTTTGCATGTATGTATATGCAAAATGCCTCTCAGGAAGAAACTTAGTAACAATTTAATGACCTTAAATTGTAATCACTGCAGCTTTTAATAATTTTGTAACTGAACAATTACAGTAGAGAACTATGATATAGCAAGAATTTTTTTTAAAGACAATTAGAGCCATGGTGGTGCAGTGGTTAGAATGCAGTACTTCAGGCTACTTCTACTGATCACCGACTGCCAGCAGTTTGGCAGATCAAATCTCACCAAGATCAAGGTTGACTCAGCCTTCCATGCTTCCAAGGTTGGTAAAATGAGGACCCAGATTGTTGGGGGCAATATGCTGACTTTGTAAACTGCTTAGACAGATGTAAAACACTGTGAAGCGGTATATAAGTCTAAGTGCTATTGTTATTCATGGGAGAAATGAAAAATTTAAATGATAACCATCCTGAAATTAAACAGTATAGTATAACACAGTTGAAGTATCTTAACATGTTTAGATTAATGAATACTGATGATGAATTTGAGCTGCTTTGGTAGAACCTCTCAATTTTAGCCATCATGCTCTCTCTATACTCAAATAAAAGCCAGAGATATTATTAGAGTAAATATGTTTGAACACTTCAGATGTTGTAGTAGTGATAGTAGTAATGTACTCTAGATTAAATTTGAGGTCCCAGAAGAATAAAGAATGCTGCTGGATTCAAATCTACTTTTCTGCTCTTCCAAGTAAAGCATGATCCTGTAATTCTGCATGATGGCATCACGTCATGTGTTGAATGTCTCTAGTCACCATGAATGAGACAGAAGTAGCAACCTTGCATTAGTTGTAGCATAAAATTTCATTCAAAACATTTTTCTCTGTATCTTTCTTAAGATGACACAAGATTAATGCTACTTCAAAATATATGTAGCACAGAATTCTTATTTACAAGTCCCTTTCCTAGCAGCATTATTTTGGGGATAATGCTGATGAAAATCCAAACATGTTGTGGACAATGCTCTACACATGTAAACAAACTAAAGTGTATGATTGCTTAACTAGCTGTCACTAAATGTATTCTCTTATTAATACGTTCAGAACAGCATTGATCGAGTGATTGTTTTGCTTAGTCATCCTACATTCAAGAATAAGACTAAATGTCACCACATTTCATACATTTCCAGATTGGCTGATGTTTAGAGCAAAGAATGGTGCATGTGCAAGATAACTGCAGATGCTAATACTTCCATGCTAGCAGGAATAATGTTTCAATATTTATATGTATTTTTTCCCACATCCCACGATGTATTCAGCCTCATTAGGAAAGTGTTGAATGTGTTATTAAAAAAATAAGTAAATAAGCAAACACAAAAATAATGTCAAAGAAACTTTCCCATGATAGTTTGAACCTATCAAATATAATGATCACAGTAATAAACTTTAATATAAAAATGGAATAGGAATTGTGCCTATACAGCAGTGTTAAGAGGCTGGGAAATTCTGGGAGTTGAAATCCATTCATTATAAAATGCCAAGGTTGAGAAACATTGCTGTGCAGTTGTTATCATCTTGCAAAGCATTTGTTGACAGGTTAGAGTATTTATTGCCTGAGATATGTATTTTTGATTTTGATATAGACCATACCTTCCTGCATAATGTAAAATGTTTATAACACAATTTCATATATATTTAATCAGAGATATATCTCACTGAGTTCAGAAAGATTTATTTTCAGGCAAGTGATGCAGACTTGGGCATGAGTTCATTATCCTTAAAGGGATGTATTTCTGAATGGTCAAGGAGAAGATTGTGGTACAAAGTATAGTTTCTTAGCTTCATTACATTCAAATCAATAGAAGGCTAGATGCAAAAGACTAATAGTCTTGTACCATAAATATTTTCCAAGCATTGACCATATAACTGTCAGGTACTATATGATGCGAATTATTCGTGTTGCATAGTCAATGAGACCTAATGTTCTAACCATTAACATTTTTTCCTGCATTTTATATTATACTTTTAGTATGTATTCAAAACTAAGACATTTGAAGAACAGACTGTTCATGAAGAACTGGCCAAGAATATAACTAATCTGTTGCAATCAAATGATCAAAGGACTGTGAAGCTTGTTCTAAAGGTGAAATTTATTCTTATTCATGAGCTAAAAGGAAAGTTTTTATAAGCTATTGATTTCCTCGCTTTTGTTCCTATGAGTTAGGTTTTGACTCCTGGTGACTGCCTGGACTAGTCTTTGGAGTTTTCCAGGCATTTTGGGGGGGATGAGGGGTAGTAGTTTGTCAATGCTTCATTTCCAGGGCTGAGAGAAAATGACTGGCCGAAGATCAGTTAGCTGGCTTGTGCTTCAGATACTATTAAAACTCACAGCCTCCTGCTTTCTAACTTATTCACCAGATCAAACTGACTGTTTTGCTATATGTTCTTATTTTATGATGTAGTTGGGGAAAGAATTGCTTAGTGTACAGAGAGTCTATTCAGAAGTGACTCAGGCTCCATAGATTCAGTTCTCTCTTTTCTAATCTTATTCCTTCCAAATATTTAGGAAATACAGCTCTAGCAAATTTTAGCCACTTTGGTTAGGTTTTATGGAAATGGTAGTCTCAGCATATATGGAAAAGCCCACTTTTGGGAAGCTTTTTGTAAAGAAAAAATAAAACTGCAAAGTATAGGTGTGTTAATACCAAAGAAAAATAATATATATTTATTTATTTTTAGCACTCCTGGTTCTTTTTTGCAATTATATTAAAATCAATGGCACAGCATTTGGTTTATACAAAGAGAGTACAGGTAAGTCTATGGTATTATGTACTACATAATAAATGTTATCAGTATTTAAACATGTTCTTATTTAAGAATATTTTACTGATCTAAGTTTTATCATATTCTTTAATGAGTGCAATACTTTAGTGTATGTATGTATGTATACATTAACTTTAGACTGTACTATATTTAGTTGTTATTATATTATATATACAGTAAAGTATCTGGATTGTAGTGGTGTACAAATTTATATAGGCATCTTGAGGCATCATAAATGTTGCTGTAAGGTAAAAAGATAGCAGGCCTTTTAATTCAGTATTAATTAGAAACTGTCAATATGATATAGTGGGTATGGTAGTATTAAAATAATTTTCCTGGATCCCTTTCTCCAAGCCAGGAGAATGCGGGCAAATAAGACACAAGGTATGCTGTTGGTAGAAAGGAAGTTGATCGATTTATTTCCCAACAACAAAAGGGTTTGTTTTGGGAGCTGGTTACAGAGAAAAATGGGATTCCGTGACTTTTTATAGGGGAACTGGACTTGGGGAATATGGGTTGCATATGTGCTGGTTCTAGTGGGGTTGGATGAGTTGGATTGTTGGATTACCTACAGACTGGTTCTCGCGTGTGCTTCTGTCAATAGGTCAATCTTAACTGATAAGTAGACTTCTGGGGGAAAAACCTGCAATGTGTAGATACAAATACAGTTATTTCTCACCGTACAATGGCACTAAGTGATGTAGTCATAAAGCACAAACTGCATCATTTAGTGATAGCAATCCCTGCAGTCCCAGCTGCTGTTGTTAACTAAATTCCATTCTCATTAGATGAGGCAGCTTCTTGCCAGCTTCCCACAACCAAAGTCAAGGAGGAAGCTGCAAGTCACAGCCAAGCAGGTAAAAGTGGCTGCAGCTGGATGGTGGAGGGAGCACAGAGTATGGAGAAAGTGTAGAAGGGTGAGGCATGAGGTGAAGGGGTGCTCTAGGGTTATGATATTGAGGGGTGTAAGAATGCAATACATGTTGGGAAGGGTGTTCATGACAATAATGACATGAAGGGTGCATGAAATGTGTGAGTGGCTAATATGGTGCAAAAGCAGAGGGGGTGTGGGAGGATATATGGGTGGGCAACAGTTTCTGCAGCTGGTGATTATTAATAATGCTTCTGTAGTTATATCAATGCAATTTATCTGGACAAGAAATCTGTTCTGAACATTTTTGAATCTAAATATCTAAAAATAAAATTTAGACCAACTGCTTATGGGACTGCCTAATTCATACAATCTGTGCAGCACTTTAAGTCACCATTTAATCATTTCCACAGTGATTTGGCTTTCCTCATGATATAGCCATGAAAGAAATTGCCACTGGAATTGAAATAAGTGATCCTCTGGGTCAGTGGTGGGATTAAAAATTTTTTACTACCAGTTCTGTGGGCGTGGCTTGGTGGCCGTGGCAGGGGAAGGATACTGTAAAATCTCCAGTCAGAGGTGGTATTTGCCAGTTCTCCAAACTACTCAAAATTTCCGCTACCAGTTCTCCCGCACTGGTCAGAAACTGCTGAATACCATCTCTGCTCTGGCTACAAATTAAAAAATTTCTCAAATCAGATTTATTTTCCTACATCTTGTTTTAACAATAGCATTTTAATTGAGGCTTAGTTGCATCCTCTTTGTAATCATCCAGTTCCATGAAGGCATTAAGTGTCAAAAACATTTTCTGAATAAATAAATACCATCATTAAACTGTACATCAGAATGATGCCTGTTATCATTTAGTCAGAAGCAATTCCAGTAACTCCCCCAATTTTGTTGTGTGGCGAGGGGAAGGAAACATTTTGGAATATTGAGTGTTGTCTAGATCAGTTTCTTATTTTGAAGAAGCCATTTGCTGTCCCACCAGATTCCTCGTGCTCAGAGGTTTCCAGAATCATACAAAACTAAACTAGATAAACTTGTAATGAACATATCAGATCATGTTATTTGGAAACACGGAGAAGCTTTTGAAGAGACAAAGAATGCAAGTCACAGCGTTGGCAGGTTTCTGAAGGTAAGTTGTATTTTGTATAAATAACCATTAACCTATTTGACCCTTGCAGATTCCACAATCCTTGTAATCATTTTCATAGTAAATATTTCTCTTTGCTTTTGGCATAACACAAAACATTAATTATGTGCTTCTTCTACATTGATGAAGACTGGGTATAGTAGTGCTGAAAGTTCATAACCAGAGAGTAAAAGAAGAAACATTTGAATACTTGTCACCAAAAAAGAATATACAGTAATCACACTCTCTATAATAAAGAAGATAACTCTTTGTACTGTAGCACTGTTAATTAATAAAGGATTGCCATTCAGTTTTTAGATTTGCAGAAGGGCATTTAATAGCCAAAGGGCATTTAATAGCCAAAATTTCAAGAAATACAAACAAATCCTATTTGTTCTATTCTTGACAAATAAGATCTGTTTCATTTGAACATATTTACATTTTCAGTAAGTTTTCTAGAGGATTACTTTATACTGGTTATTTATTCAAAACATTACAAAATCTTTTAATTTCATATTGCTACTTACTTAAATTGATATTTAGATTAATCAGAGAAATATTGAATTGAGTATTTAACATTCGATCTTCATGATTTATTGCCAGTTTGCCAAGATGATACTAATTCCTTATTAACTTTTTTCTGTTAAAAGTCTTTTCTTAGGGAAATAATTATAATCATTTTGATTTTTTTCTCTTAGCGATGTTTCACATTCATGGACCGTGGATTTGTATTTAAATTAATTAATAATTATATAAGCATGTTTGGACCAGGTGATGACAAGGTAAATAAAGTAAATGTATGTTTGCAATTATACCAACTTCTCCTTTTCCTTTAGAAATTATCAGAATCAGTTAAAAAAGGGAATAGGTCTTCCAAGAATATTTGTTTCCTTTTGTTGGATAAAAGTTTTATGATCACTTTACAAAGCAGTTAATAGAAAAAAAAATCTTTGTAATAAGCTGCTTCCCCATAATATGTAGTTGATGTTGGTTTGCTATGACCTTACAAAAATAAAAAGTCAGTCTATCCAATCATATGTTTATCAATGTTTATCGTTATTGGAATTTGTTTGTTGCTTGCTCATTTAGCAATCCTTTAGCAAGGAAATGCATGTGTTTCTTATTCAATCTAATTTAAGCAATTATCTACTGGATTCCCTTTCCCTTTATTAGTTTAATATTGCTACAATCACCTTTCTCATTTAAAAAAATATTTTTGCTCTTACATGAAAATAATATCTTCACATAAATATAAATAAACATGAGCATTCATTATCCTGCATAACTATTATTTCATGTAATGCAGATAGATTAATGAATGTACATGCATGTAATAAAAGAAGATCAATCACCTGATAATCACCTCAAACTTTCAGATTTTATTCCAGTATAAATTTGATTTTCTTCAAGAAGTATGTAACTATGAACACTTCATTCCTCTCTGCCTACCCATGAAATCTGCAAACATTCCAGGTAAGCATTTATGGTCTTACATAATATTTATTATAAGACAAAATAATCTGTATTCAATTTTAAGTATATATACTTAGTAATAAAGCTCATAAAATATTAGGGGTTTGTATTATATAAATACATTTAAGGTCAGCATGCAAATTTCCCATTTTCAATAAAAAAAAATTTATTACAATTGAGAGTATGAGTAAATGTTATTTTAGTAACTAAGTTATTATGTTAACTTTTAAAAAACAGCAAAATATGTATAAATCATAAATTTAAAAAATGCCTGACAACTTTTTATGGTACTAAAATAAAAGGTATTTTGAAATTGAAAACCTTACATTTGATTATTAAAATTTGACTCTTTCCATCAAATAAATGAGGGACTTTAGATCTAAAAGAGAGAAACTTTCTCTGTGGTAGATGCAGTAGTTAACAGAATAACCTTGGAGTCCAACCCCCTTTTTGAGGCAGGAAACCCTATACCATTTCAGACAGTTTCCAATCTCTTCTTAAAAACTGAAGGTGTTGGAGCACCCACAACTTCTGGAGACAAGCCATTCCACTGATTAATTGTTCTAACTGTTGGTTTGCGTTGTCTTGGATTTTTATCATCAACTTTCTGCAAATCTATCAAACTGTTTATTTAGGTGGGATTTAATGGTGAGCTGGGCCACTATTTCAGTAACAGATTACATTACTTCAGCTGCTTTACATTTATATTTACTTTGCTTTTGTTTGTGGTATAAACCACCAGGAATTGTAGCATGCAAATTCTTGTAATCAGTACAGTCATCACCACTTTTACTTTAGGCCTCTTAAAAATATTTGCAATTTGTTTTTAAGAAGCTTATCTTTATCTTCCTTACGGTTGGGTGAGCAATATTAGACACCAACAACAGCATGGGTTTTATGTGATTTTCTACATGTATAACCCAAATGTTCTTTTCAGTATCTCAACTGATCTTCATTTTTCTTGTTAAGTCATTTATCTTATTTTATGTCATGTGCAGAAAGGAAGGAAGGATGTGAACTTTAAAACTTAATATTGTTTCTGATTTTTCATTCTCAGTTTACTTTGTCCAAGAAACAATACTGTTTTTCCTACACTGCACAAGTATCTATGCATGGTTCTTCTTCCTTTTTTTTTGCCACACAGCCCCTTCAGATCCAGTTTAAAGAGTTCCTGATTAAGTCTGCCTAGTCTACTAGTTCTTTGAGGTGCAGCTGATTCCATGCCAACAATTTAATTAATTGTTCAGTTAACAATTAAACTAGTTTACAACATGAATAGAAATGGTCTGTCACTGTCACCATTTATATTTGTATTTGGGATTGTATCTTGAATAGTCACTTACAATATGCTTCTTTCTCATTCCTGGAAGAGTGTCTGTTTTAGACTTTCAATGTTCGCACTGATATGCTTGTAGCAGCTTTCTGCAGTATCATTTGACCCTAGATAGATAAACAGGAAAGGATCGTTTCATTGGCCCTGTTGAATCTTAAATGTTTGCTTTGTCTTTAATACTTTTACACCATCAGTTTCATACAAACCACTGTGCAAAGTCCATAAAAAGATAAAGTAACCTATTCCTTTAAAAAAGCTTAGCATCCAATAACTGGAGTAGATCTCAAAATAGCCAATCCAAAAGCACTATTTCTAATCAGTAATAGTGCTTTTGGATTCACAAAGTGTGAATGGATAAATATGACACCATAAAATTATACCTTCACAATTAGCATTGGCATTTATTTAAATGTACCTTTCTTTCTTTCTTTCTTTCTTTCTTTCTTTTTCTTTTTCTTTTTCTTTTTTTCTTCTCCTTTTCCATATATTTCTATCACACCATTCAAGATCCAATCACACCATCAGAAGCAACCCAGCAGTTTCGTGCATCAGGTAAGCCTAAGTACAATTTGCAATCTTCGTTATTAAATGTGGCATTATCAAATTCCATTTCTAGCATTTTAAAAATTATCTACTACTCTGCCCTGTACCCAAGTTTGAAGTGGAATTATTCTGCCATAACTTTGGCTGTCCAACACATTTGGAGTGATAATATACATTGCATTAATTGAAGGACCTCTCAGTGAAGAATAGAAAACTTGTTATTTCTAAATAGTTAAAGTCAGAAGTAAGTTCAATATCTACTTCATCTTGCCAAGTACTAAAGACAAATTGCTATAATACATCAGGTACAGATTAACAGAAGTTACTACTGATTTATAAGTCAAACTGCAACATTAGCAGACTTATCAGTTAAAACATTGAGTTCTACAAAACTGCAATCGTTTTCCTAATATTTGTTAATTAAATTATTTGAATGCCAATTAATCATATATCATATATATATATATGGTATTCAGCTTTGTTCGGGTATTTTCCCACATCATTATAGTTGTGCTATACAGAAGCCTGATGATGGCAGATGAGATTCTGCCAAAACATTGCTACAACTTTAAAAGCACAACTATAATGACGTGGGAAAATACCCAACAAAGCTGAATACCGTACATGTAAGTACCCGCAAAAACTTTAATATATATGTATATATTCGTAGATTTTCATGGGTACAGGTATGTAGGTCTAAGTGTGTTTGGGTATTTTCCTGTGTAAGATTAAGAGTATCTTGGTGACGTTTCAGCGAGGTCCCACTCACCATCCTCAGGCTGGTGCTATCGATTTTGTGCCAGTGCAAGCTGAAATGTGGCCAAGCCACATCATCATAGTTGTGCTTTTAAAGTTGTAGCAATGTTTTGGCAGATTCTCATCTGCCATCATCAGGCTTCTGTATAGTATTCATTTGTGAGTCAGACTTTTCCAGCCTTTTCTATTTTAAATTTGGTGCTAGCCTACTGCTGTGCCAGAATGGTTTTTTCTTCATCCTGATTGGTTGGGAGTCTTGGTCTGTGTTTATTGGTCTTGGAGTTTGCTGTGTTCTTCTTGATTGGTGTTTCTAATATCTTCTGTCTGTTTTGTAGCTTTTTTTGTCTTGATTGGCTGGCAACATTGTGTTTCCTGTATTGGAGGCTTTTAGTGCATCTTGGCTCCGAGTAAATGGACGGCTATCATTTATTAGGAAGCTAGGTTTCATCTGGGTGCCTGGTTGGGGTGTGTTTGAGCTGGAGGTATCAGGGGGGATCTGTTTGTGCCCAGGTGTTTGCCTGGCTTGTGGTGTGGAGATTTTTTTTGTTTGAGAGTGCTGGCTTCCAGGTAATTGACAATCTGGTGGAGTCATCTATTCATGCTTTCAGGTCTTTTTTCAATCTCTATGGATTCTCTGATAATTCTGTAGTTGGGGTTTTCTATAGTGGCTAGGGTTTTGGTGCCATTGAAGTTGATGCTATGACCTGTGGCTTTCATGTGTTGGACTAGTGAGAAAGTGTGTTCCAGCTTTTTTACTGCATTTTTGTCTACATATGTATATATGTTAGTGAAGGATATGTATGACAAGTTTTAAACACACAACTCTCTTGACTGTCTTAATCCAGATGTTCCTGAATATATTGTAACAAATGAATTTTGCCGGAAGCATTTTTTAATTGGATTACTTCTTCGAGAAGTTGGATTTGCACTCCAAGAAGACCAGGATATCAGACACATGGCCCTAGCCATGCTCAAAAATCTGATGGCAAAACATTCCTTTGATAATCGATATAGAGATCCGGTATGAATGTTTAACTTTTTGCCTTGATTGAATAAACCAAGGGTCCTCAAACTTGGCAAGTTTAAGACTTGTGGACTTCAACTCCCAGAATTCCTTCTCCAGTTATGTTAGCTCAGGAATTCTGAGAATTGAAGTCCACAAGTCTTAAACTTGCCAAGTTTGAAGACCTTGGAATAGACCATTCCATTGACTGTACTGAGCCATCTTCTTTTAATGTCTTTTCTGCAGGAGAAGCAGGCAAAAATAGCAAACTTGTATATGCCTCTTTATGGGATGCTTTTGGACAATATGCCAAGGATATATCTGAAAGATATGTTTTTATTCAGTATAAATACATCTAATCAGGTGGGTTCCAGTAATGGGCAATAATAATTTTAGTTTTCATAAAACTATACTGCTGACATTTTAATTATTCTAGACTAGATTAGTTCAGGTTAATTTATCAGTAAATAGAGTATGATAAAAGCATATTAGTGTAGAGTCACTTAGCTATATTGCTGGACTTGTTGTCTATGACAGAAAAAAACATTTAGTCTGGATTCAGACTAAAAGCATACCTAAAATCATTGCAATGAATTATTGGGAGAAAGAAAACCCAATCTGAACTTCTTATCACTTACAAGCTTACTAGGTGGCCATAAACAGGTTAGTTTTAGTATCAGCCTCCCATCTGCAACTAAAGTTGTCTCCCTAATTGATTCACTAAAAATCTGCCTTTCCTTAAGTGATATGTTAAGATTACCACATTAAGGTTGGTTTAGAATTAAGGGAAGGCAAGGGGGGGAGGAAATATTTTCTTAAAATAATTGTACTGTTTTGGAAAAGAAATGTATTAATATTTACAAATATTAAGATTTCTAAAGTTGACGAATTAGCAGAAATAGATTAATGTGTGGTGCTGGTAGTGATGATGGTGAAGATAACAAATATCATTGTCATTAGGCTGCAAAAGGCAAAAAATGTGGTTCTATGCTAATGTCAAAGCAGTGGCTATATAACTATAAAATTAGCAATAAGTGGCAGGTTTTGAAAATTGATGTAATACACACATTTGTTCTCTGCCTGTCATTGAAATCTAGGGATCTAGAGATGATTTGAGCACCACTGTAGGATTTCAGAGTCAGACAACAATGAAACATGCAAATTCAATAGATACTTCTTTCTCCAAAGATGTTCTTAATTCAATTGCAGGTACGAAACTATATAAAAATAACTTTCTGTCTTGTTCTATTGCAAGTTTCATTATTACTAATTTTTTACATGTAAATTATCTTCTAGTATTTCTTGCAGGAGTGTGATCTGACCTTAGAACAGAGATCCAAAGTGCTCTAATTTCCTGAAATTTCTTGAGATGTCTGTGGCTGTTATTGGGATACAATTTTTAAAAATGTATAACTAGAAAAGAAAACAAAAAAGAAAAGAACTGTAATTTCCTTTGAACTAACACAGCAATCATTCACCTATATATAGTTCCTACAGCACTTTTATAATTTGATTTTATTGTCCTTATTAGTTGAAAGAGATTTTCTAATAAATGGCGATATATCCGTATTTTAGATATGCAAACAGATGTATATGTGTGCAAAATCTAACCCAATTTATAGAATACAAATACAGACAATACTCTGCTTAAAAGTAGATTATGTTTCAAAAGTCTGTTATAAGCTTGTTCGTTTCCAAGTCCACCAAGCATAAAAGAACATGTGCAGAGCATGGATGGTGGCATTGTAAAACTTGACAAGGATGATCTAGGCTCATCTTCCAGAATTGAAACAGTCCATTTTCCACCTTCCTGAAGAAGTGGTTCAGTGGACTTTGGATGGTGACAAGAGTGAATATGGTGGAAGTTAGGAGAGGATGAGATGATTGGTTTCTAGTATAATGCATACCTGGATATGTACTGGAAGCTAGACCTTTCCTGCCTTCTCCCAACTTTGGGTATAAACAGATTTGTTTGTATCACAAAAGTTCACCAACTTTATTAGTAGAGTAATGTTTATACTGTATACTTTACAGATGGATTTCAAGGTGTCATACTAATTGCACTCAATAAATGTTTCTACTTCTATGGCTTTTGCTCCATCATGTATGAGAATGTGTCTGAAACCATCTATCGCAAAATATGTATCATTGCATTTGTCGTTATAAGTCTACTCTGTTTCATGCAATCAGCTCATAACCATTCAACATCTTAATTAAATGATCTGTAGCTTTTCTTAACAGTGTCTAGTCAATGTTACATACTGTTCTTTGGTTTTCATCCTGTTAATTGTTGTGTCCATAAGCATCATTTTAGCACATTCGTTGTGGCTTTTGTTTCCAGCTTTTTCATCAGTAGTTATTCCTGCAGCAAACCGTACTGACTCCAGAGGTTCCCTAGGAAGTCTTGACTCTAATCCAAGTACCAATGAAAAGAACAGTGAAATAAATGAAGCCTGTGAGAAGGTATATATTTCTATGAACTAAGACAGCACAGTACCTCAGATTTTAATGGGAAAAGATGATTCAGAGCACGTGGAGGCATTCATACAGCACTTGATGGCAGCTATCTAATGCAGCTGCCTCTGGTCCACATTATGCTATATTTATTTTATGTTATGTTTGTGGGGGGGTTTATTTATTTATTTGTATTCTACCTTCATTATTTTTATAAATATTTAAGGGAGCAAGCATATATTCCTTCCCCTTCCTATTTTGCTCACAATAATACTCTGTGAGGAGAGTTAGGTTGAGAGAGAATGACAGAGAGAGTGGCTGGCAGCTGGATTTCATGTCTAAGGCAGGAGATTTCTAGCCTGGTGCCTTATCCACTGTACCAAACTCGTATATTAAACTTAACCACTAGACCAGGGGTGTCAAACTCAAGGCCCAGGGGCCAGATCCAGCCCATGGGGTACTTGGATCTGGCCCACGGGGCTGCCCTAGAAACAGTGAAGAACAGCCTGCAGTGCTTCTGCCAGCGAAAACAGCAGAGCTCCATTTTTGGCTGCCACAGTGTCCTGCAACCCTCTGCCAGTGAAAACAGAACTCGGGAGGGCCGCAACCACCTGAGCTCCATTTTCACTGGCAGGGGGTTGCAGGAGGCTGTGGCAGCCAAATGGGCTGTGCAGGAGCCCATTTTCACTAGCAGAACGCTTGGGCCAATATAGGCATTCCCAACATGAATGGTGTCGAGCTGGCCACACCTTCCCTGGCCATGCCTACCTCAGCCCTCTGAAGTCAAATACAACCCTGATGCAGTTGAAATTGAATTTGATATTCTTGTACTAGACCAAACTGGTATAACCAAAGAGAGGTGTGTGTGTGTGTGTGTGTGTGTGTGTGTGTGTGTGTGTGTGTGTATAATATTTTGGAGGTAAAATTGATTTATTAAGACTCTTCATGTTTTGCCACAACAGATTGTAAGGCCATTGTCTCTGATTGGATCAGCTCTTCGTTTTGACAAATTAGATCAAGCAGAAACAAGAAGTCTCTTAATGTGTTTTCTTCATATTATGAAAACAGTTTCAGAAGGTAAGTGAACATTAAACTATATCTGTGTCCGCTTTCTTACTTTTCTGCTGAAGATTATGTTCTTTTGGGAGAAATCTCTTGGTTGTTAGGTTTACAAGACAACGGAGAGTGGGTTTAAAGCAGCCATGTGCATTTTCTTTTCTCTACTAGTGCTACTACCTTTTCCCTGTTTTGTCTTTCTTATTCTTCCTTCTGCACAGCATATCTATTAAAAAATCTTGTTACTCTTCAGACAAGTTGAAATAAATTATTTGCAAAGAGCTTTTGAAATAAAATATATCCAAGTATGAAAAATTAAGGTGATCTGTCAGTCCTTCAGAATAGGGAAGCTCAGGGAATGGGGTCTCTAAAAGAGTATAGGTCAGGTTACTGTAACAGAATCTTAAAAGCCTGTCACAATGATTTTTTACTTCTACATACATCTAACATAATAGCAATAGCACGTAGGCTTATATACTGCTCTATAGTGCTTTACAACATTCACTTGGTGGTTTACAATGTCCGCATATTGGCCCCAACAATCTGGGTTCTCCTTTTACCAATTTTGGAAGGACAGAAGACTGAGTCAATCTTGAACTCCTTCAGGGATGAACTCCTGGCTGTGGGTAGAATTTGTTGCAATGCTGCATTGACCCCTTTCTAAATTCTACTGGTAGAAAATATCACTTTGAAAATATGAAAATAGGATTACAATAGACTTTGACTAAATGAATTATGGTGGAGATTTTTTTTAGATTTATTTTTATTGGTTTTAAATAATGACAAAAACAGAAAATATCAAATCAGCAAATTAATTATCCTAACACATTATCAAAGAAAAGAAATAGAAGATTTTTTTAAAAAGTACAAAAACACAATGTAGAAAAAAAGTATTATGTGTCATTTTAGCGTAATTAGCATTTTAGCATAATTACAATTCTTTATATAGTTATCTAACACAATTATAATTCTAGTACATATATGTTTCTAAAACAGTTATGTAACTATACAACCATGTTTAACCTACTATATTTTGTTTAAATTAGTTCTATATTTCATTACATTTGTCCATTCAAAGTCTATATTTATAATTAATCCACTTATAGATGGCAAGTATAATCAGGTCTTCAACCCAATGAGTGAAAAGGGCCATACATATAACTTTCCAATAGCACAATATCAGTCTTTTGGCCATAGTAAGGACGCAGAAAATCCATCCGCTCTCCTGTTGTCTGATAATATAGGAATTTCAAATTCTTTATTCCTTTCTTTTTTTAACATCTGCAAATAAAATTGATTTATTGATAACAAACATCTATAAAAACTAATCGTAGGTTTTGTTTTTTTAAAGATTTAACAGGGTGGTTTTAGTATTTCAAATGCTGAGAATGCTGATGATCCGTACAATGTTGATAACAAAACTTGTTACTATGAATATTGCATTGGGTTCCATCTGATGGATTATATTCACTCTTAACACAGAGTATGATTACTTGATGTAAGAATAAATAATATATTTGTATGTTTTCATTGTCTCTTTCTAGATACACTGATCTCATACTGGCAGAAGGCACCATTTACAGAAATAACAGATTTTTTCAGCATTTTAGAGTAAGCTCACTCTGAGGTTTGTTCTTCCAAGGCTGTTGTTGGTATTAATTAAAACAGAAGAATAACTATCCATTTCAATCCCCATATTTTTAAGTCTTTCAAAAGAAATGCATCTCTCATCTAACTTTATTCAGCTTCTCAATCTCTCTAATCTTCCATGATTTAAATTGTGAAATGTTAATATTTTTCTTTACTGAATTAGTAAAGAATAAAAGAAAGAAATGAGGTCCCAATGGGCGTGAATCATTCTGGAAGTGGTTAATAGACTAAGATAAGACCCCCACCTCCCTACCATGCTGCTCCCTTCCTCCCCAACTTTGTCAATTTTAAACTAAATTAATGTTACTATTTATCATTTTAATGTTTTTATTGGAGTAATGATTGTTAGCCATTATTGGAGTAATGATCATTAACCGTCACATCCAGTAATATGGATGGCATGTAAGCTTAATAAATAAAGAATAAAAGAAAAGAACTCATTAACATTGCAGTCAGTGTTTAACTTCATTGCAACATTGATATTTAACTGCTTAGGAAATGCAAGGTTTGAGTCACAGAAATGCTTTGTGGTAAAGGTAACCTGCAGAAAATGAGTAATAGCTTCACTCAAGGGCATTCCAGATACTATTATGAGTGGACAGTTTTCATGCAATCACTTTTGATATTGTACAAGAACAATTTAACAAAACACGCAATTGGAGTTTGTAAAAGCATTTCTTGGGAAATCTATAAACTATTTATAAAGCAAATATCTGTCTGCTAATGCAATAGTGAAGTTTGGTTTTTGTGGGAAAAGGGTAGAAAGAACAGTTGCTGCATGAAACTAGCATGATTGTGGTCATTTACCTGAATAATTTTACTAATAGAATTACACCATTCTTATTATTATATTATATTATTATTATACAATAATAGAATTACACCAGGACTGTACCAAAATCTAGTGTGTGATGTTTTGTGAAAGAAGTAAATTAATGCTGTGAAAGAAAACCATTTGAGATTATTTAATTTTTTTTTATCTTTTAGGGTTTGCCTTCAGAATTTCAGATACTTAGGAAAACGAAATATAGTAAGGTAATGTTTTATTCATCAAACAAGTAGCAAAATATTTGAAGGATATGTGGAATTTAATGTGTAACTGCAAGAAACTTTAGTTTGTGTGTGTATTAATCTAGATGAGTGTGAGTATGAATTACAATGAATCCTAGATCATAAAGTTCCAAAATAAATGCTTTTTGTGAATTTTCATTAGATCCCTATAAATGTTTATATAAGAACTAGGCTGCAAGTATAAAACATAATTGACTTTAATCGATGGAAATCCTACTATAGAGTTAGAACACAAGACCTTTTTTGATAAATTTGCCTGATCTTTATAGTAATAAATTATAATACAGTTTTATTTCATTTTTCATTTTTTTATTTTCATTCAGGAAAATTGCTGCTGTAGTTAAGTTTTCTCAGACCACCCGAAATAATGGAACATTGAAAGGCTCCAGTTCATCCTGTCAAACCTCTGGGCTTCTTCCACAGTGGTAAGATTTACCAAAATAGATGGAGGGTTAATGCAAACCAGCCATGATGGCCCAACAGAGCAAAGTAGATATACCGTTGTTGTACTCCATTGAGAATCTAGAAGGAATCAGCAGCAGGTAGATGCTAGTGACAATATTGATAATATTATTAATATTTCCCCTAAAATGTGAAAAAACATATTCACTAGTGTCCAAAATCAAAAGTAAAACTCAAGTACTAGACTTTTTTGACATGCTGAAATCAGACGTTAGAAAGTGCTGAGCTTTTTGATTCAGTTGTGTTTGTACTATGATATTTAGTTCTTAGAAAACTAGTTTGTTCAGTGACAATTAATGTAAAAACAACAGTTGCCAATATAATCTCCTTGTGTCATGGCATATGGATGCATTCAAAGCAGCAGGAGGAAAAATAATGCATTGCTTTGCTCTGCAATTCAAAATAAACACTGTTTTCATTTTCATGTCTAGACATGGGGGTGGGCAGAAGGAAGTTTTCCATAATGATGCATTATAATTGCTTCATCTACTCATCAGTATCAAATCTCACTGTAACAAAAACGTAGCAGCTGCAGTGTCAAATTTCCACCATTACTTCACTGTAAGAAATCACTAGAATAAGCTCTTAAAACATTATTACCAATCCATTTTATAAGAGCATGAGTGATTCTTATTTTAAAAATCCACGAGGTTAAATATTAACGGCCCAATTGTATTTTTATTAAGATGTTAAGAGATGTGTATATATACACCCAAAATATAACACTGTAATTTATTTGTAAACATGTCAAGCATTTTCTTAAATGTGACCCTAAAAGTTCCCACCAAAATAGGTCTTTTTTAAAAGCCCATGCTGAAATTTCTAATTGGACTCCATGATGCCAAATAACCTTTTTAATAATTTACCTTTCTAGATATCTTATACCTTCAGATGTACATAACTACAAATTATCAGATTATCAGTACCAGATTATCATTTCAGCATTGCTAGTGAGCCTAATCAAGAAGACAATAAAGAATTTTTTTTTATTCTCCTAAATACCACAAGTTAGCTCTCTACTGTTCAAAAGAATCCCTTGGTATAACCACAAGAGTTTTGATTGGGATACCATTGCCTTGGTAGAGCTTTGTTTCACTAACATGTGGACAATTTCTATCTAGTTAACTTTTTTTTAGCAAGGCTTAGTATAATTCTGTTCCTATATTGTGTAATAAACTTTAAACCAATCTACTACTTACTTAGAAATATTCATGTCTGGAAATGATGCAGTGCAGAAGATAGAAAACAAATTGTCTAAAGATTTGGAAAAGTTTTGGGGTATGCCTGAAGCACTGTCTTGTCATTTTGCAGGGGACATTCAGCTTCCAGCAGTGAGGTTCACAAGCATCATAGATCTCAAACTTTACCAATAATCCGTGGGAAAAATGCCCTTTCCAATCATAAACTCTTACAGATGATAGATAGTACCATTCCAAGTAAGTATAAAGGGAGATTTTGTAGTTGAACATTTAATGGAACTATTGTGGTACTTAATGAAATAGCATTCTCCATTCAATGTTATGTAAATAATGTGAGATAATGCTATTATGTTTTGTTGTCTCATTATTCAGTTTATGTATACACAGTGAAAACATTTACTAAGTCTCAATATCTATAGAAAAGTTTTTCATATTTTCCTAGATTATGTTGTATATTCTTGTGAATGTTATGCTTTTGCATATGTATAAATATTCTTTTTATGATCTCATCCATGTTCTTATCATTTATGCTTGTTCAGTTGTTATGGAACATTAAGAGTGAAGGCCAGCTGTTGTATATGATTAAGACAATTTCACTCTATCATTTTTAGCCTAAAAATTAGACATAATAGCAATAACTAATATAGTTCTCATATGTGTACTCATTACCATAAATTCTTTCTATGCATGTAATTTATAAAAATGATAAAAATTAGGTTGATTAATTAGCATCCCATTATTTATGGATAATCATGTGCATTAATTCATAATCATGTGTGTTAAAAAGGGAGATGGAGGTGAAATATATGTCCAAAACCAAATCCAAAAAGTAAATAGGAAGGATTCAAACTGTTATATGAAAATAAGATTTTTAATGTGAAAAATGATCAGTGAATTTCATTCACAAATATATTATGATTTATTTAAGCATATTTTATAAAACAATTTCTTAAAAATAAGTCCTTCGAGAAAATATTGAAACCAAATATTGAAATCCAGTAGCAATTTCACGGTAAAGCTTCTAAGAAAGCGTACTTTTCTGTAAAAGCATATTTAAGAGAGGTGATATGTCATCAGTGACTATTGTCATTTGTAGATGACTTAACATTTTTTCTGTAACATTTATTTAACTGTAGGCACTTCTAATGAAATAGATCTTGTGAGTTACGTAGATACGGAAGCCAACATTTCAACAGAAGTTTGCCTTTCTATACTCGATCTGTTATGTCTTTTCATTCAGCATCATCAGGTAACATTTTTCAATGACAAATTTTTTACATGAAAGTCACAATGTCCACAATTTATGCTAAGCTGTTATTTTTTGGAAGCACAGAATCAACAAGGAAATGTTTCATATATGCGACAGCCTGTGAATGAAGCTTTCAAAATGATGCAAAGATGGTCTGATGCAAAAACAAAGACTTTCTAAGAACCTTTGAGAAACTAAACTAATATTAAAAATGTTAAAAATGCCTGCTCATATCTGGACAAAAATGAAAGGAACAAGAATAGTCAGGGTGGAAAATAACAGATCCCAACAATTTAAATTTAAAAATCTGTAATGTATTTGTTACTTTTCAGAGACAACTGCAACAGTCAGATTGCCAGAATACAATGATGAAGAAAGTCTTTGATACTTACCTGTTATTTTTACAAATCAGTAATTCTGCAGCAGCTCTCAAGCATGTATTTGCTGCTTTGAGATTGTTTGTGAGTAAGGTAAGACCATATATGGCATCTCATTTGTAGGAATCCCTTCTTCTCTTTCATCCTTCTCAGTTGGCTATTGAGAAATAACAGACCTTTTCTGAAAAGATAACTTGCAGCAAAGGGCAGAGCCATGACTTCTATATCTAAGTTTTATGATATTTTGAGAAGAAACTGCAGTTTGGCCTGTTTAAGAGGAGATAGTGTAACATTCTACAGATAATTAAAAGGTTATCATCAGCAAAACTGGATAGATTTGATCTGTGTTCAAACTAAGGGCAATACAAGGACCAAGGGGTTGAAATTAAAAACGAGGAAATTCCAGTTGAAAAACAGGAGGAGTATAAGGAAATAAGGTGTTAATCAGTGGTACAATCTGTATAAAACTCCTAAAAAGAGACGTTCAAACATTCCTCGCCACTTATCAGAGATGGTTTAATGGATTCCTGTACCTACCTACTTAGCTGAAATATATGATCTAAGGTCCCTTACAAGTTATATATTCTGATTTTAAAGTTGTATACCTTCGGCAAAAACAAATTCACTTGCTATGTAACCTGTTTGTAAAAGTGTAAGAATGTTAGTAATTTCTACTGGGGGCAATTGTGCATGAGATATATGTATTGATGTTTTTGTTTTTATAGTTTCCATCAGCATTCTTCCAAGGTCAAGCTGACTTGTGTGGATCTTTCTGTTATGAGATACTTAAGTGTTGTAATCACAGATCACAATCAACACAGATGGAAGCCTCTGCTCTGCTTTATTTTTTCATGAGAACGAACTTTGAATTTAATAAGCAAAAGTCAATAGTAAGGTCTCATTTGCAGGTAAGCAAATATTACTGTGGTAACGCCTTGGAGCAATTACTACCTGAAATTTGTCATTATTTTATAGTGTTACTGCATTTATTCATTTGAGAGAGGGGACAAAATATACTTACAGATCACAGAATGCTCTCGTCTGTTTTATTTCATTCTTATTTTAAATTTTATTTTAGACTGTTAGATCCTCAGAATGATAATGCTAACAATAATGACCATAAAAACTACAGTAATAATAATGCCTTTAAAAAAAATGTTATCTCAACTTTGATATTCTAGAGAAATATCTTATGTTTCCAGGTCTTCAGCCGCAAGATTCAGAATTAGTTTAGAAATGGCAATTCGTAGCACAAAATATTCTCCTTCCTACTGAAAAGACTATTTAACAGAATGTATATATTCATTCATAACCATTCATAACTAGTATTGGGCAAAAACTGTATCTGATTCATTTGGGGTAGGGAATAGTTTACCAAAATTTAAATTTCTTCATACTTAATATAGAAATATGTTTATTTTGTTACTATTTATTTTATTCTTATACTATACATATTTTTAAGAGAAAGATAATAAAGATAAGAATTTGAGAAAAAGGGAAAACTCAAATTACTAGTTTTCTCCTTGACCACAAATAGAGATTGAGACAACAATCACTATGTAATAAATTTTGCTGGTGGTTCTTCTGACAAGTAAGTTGTTCTCTTTTCTTGTCATCACTTCAGCTCATCAAGGCTGTAAGCCAACTGATTGCAGATGGAGGGATTGGAGGTTCTCGATTTCAGCATTCTTTGGCAATTACAAATAACTTTGCTAATGGAGACAAACAGATGAAAGTAATTTATTTATTTATTTAAGCTGCTTATTTATTTATACTTATAGTATATTTTTTTTTGCATTCTTATGACAATGGATATTTCCCCAGTAGGGACTTATAGTGTCTTTAAGAATTGGTCTGCCATCTTTGAATTATATGGAGCTCATCCTCATTGTTTCTGTATCAACAAAATGAAAGCTTGATAGCCATAGGAAAAAAAAATAAGTTACTAAATATCTAAATGTGGTTGTATCCAAAGTATATTTTCCTTTGTTGCTATCTGAGATAATAATATGATAATTGCTAGAAAATGAATTGCATATAGCATAGCAATAGCACTTAGACTTATATACCGCTTCACAGTGCTTTACAACCCTCTCTAAGCGGTTTACAAAGTCAGCCTATTGCCCCCAACATCTAGGTCCTCATTTAACTGACCTTGGAAGATGGAAGGCTGAGTCAACCTTGAGCCAGTGAAACCTGAACTGCCAAACTGCTGGCAGCTGGTGATCAGCAGTACTGCATTCTAACCACTGTGCCACAGGGGCTCTTAATATTTATTCATCTGTCATTAAAACCATAGTAATAAGAATTCTTATCCCAAGTTTGATATTATAAAGAAATATCTATTGCAAGTATGTTCAAACATGACAAGCCAATACTGAAGAAAAAGATAATGTGCAGTGAAAGAAAAGAAAAGTTGTTTGATCATAGACAGCTAGGAAGAGGAAATAGCAAACAATGTATTATAACACTGTTATGATGTATGCAACAGTTGTATTTATCAGGTTATCTGACTTATTCCAAATAGATGTCATTTAACATGATAATAGAGATTTTATGAACTTAAATTCCCTTATTTCTCTTTCCCAAAGAACAGTAACTTCCCAGCAGAAGTGAAAGATTTGACCAAACGCATAAGAACAGTTTTAATGGCTACAGCTCAAATGAAAGAACATGAGAAGGATCCAGAGATGCTTGTGGACTTACAGTACAGCTTGGCAAATTCATATGCAAGTAACCCTGAATTACGTAGGACCTGGTTGGAGAGCATGGCCAAAATTCATGCAAGAAATGGAGACTTATCTGAGGTAGCTTATCTGAAACTGATAAATTATTTTATATTTGAAAGGGCTTGAAATAAGCCCTAAAGAACAAGAATTCAATGTCACCTTTCTGTTTCAACCAAGAATGACTATTTGCGGAACTCATTTAAGAAACTTGTGTCCTAAAGCAGGATATTTTCTACAAAATATCTACCCAAATACATACTGGTGGGTTTGCATTCAGAACAGAGAACCATTTAATCAATAATGGACTTCGGGAAATTATTACATTCAGGCACTATGTTAATTTTCAGTGTAGTTATCTTGGTACTACAACATTATACAAATCTTAAGCTCTTCCACAATTTCTCTTTACACAGGAGCATGATCTTGTCATAATCTATTAGTAGCTTTAATGCTAATGTGGAAAGTTGGAAAATATGACCTAATTCTGTACATGTTCTCTGTTTTTCATAAGGAATTGAAATCAAAATAGCACGGGTAGCCTATATAACTTGTGACCTAGTAAGTTGTATGCAGTTGTCATAACAGCCATGCTGACCTTCTGATGCCTAACATTTCTTTTATTATTGGTACTTTATTCTAGAACTTTTATGAGAATCTATTAGGACATATGTAATGTACTGAATCAAGAAAAGTAGATCTACTTTTGATTAATTTTTGTTATTTTTTTGTAATTGAAATATTTTGTTTGCTATATAGCTGAACATTTTTTCTTTTTCAAAAGAATAAAAATTAAATTTATTTCCTGTGGATTTCAAGCACATTCCACTGATGTGTCTTTCTTTCCTTCCAGCAGTCCTATAACATGAGTGCTTGATTGTAGCAGTTGTCCAAAATAGAAATCTTTATTACAGCCTTTAAGCCAGAAATGTTATATAGAAACTACATGTAAAATATATAGGTATGACTAAATAGCAAGTATAAAATAACAATAATGTTAATATAAGAGAAATCATAATGGTAATCACTATGATTGTTCACTAATCTTCAGTTGTATGTGGGACAAGTAGAACGAATAGAAAAATAGAATTGGGAAGAGATATCAGTGATCTGGTTGAGTAGAAGTGATAAATAAGCACTGTAAGGGCGTTGATCTCAAATGGGATACATGAGTGTCACCTCACATTTCCCATAATGACAGCAGCAAAGGAACATGTAACTGAGGAACTCCATGGAGACAGATCCGCATGACCTTATGCTTTTCAGTAAATGGGTGTTTTTATAATGCCCCCTACATGTACAGAGATAGCACATGTAACCTAGCCATGGTGAAGGAATAGTGAAATCCTATAGAGATATCTATAGGATAGTGGCATGTGATCCATATACTGTAGTGTTGAATTCCAGGCTTAGTTTGATTTGGAAACCAATGTGCCAGATACACTGCTTAAGATAATTTCTGGCGTTTTCAAACCTTGCTGGACAGGGGAGATACTTTAATTACCAGTTTTCACACTAATACATCGATCCAGATGAGCTTTTGTTGTAATTGTTTTGCAAAGACACACTGGTATTGGTGAAGATTAAGAAGATCTACATCCTGTAACATTTTTAACAAAGACATTGTTTTTTAAAATAATAACAGAAAAAAATCTAAAGGATTAAGCACAGATATACCCTTTATAAAAATGTATAAGTGGTTTAAAAATAAGTTTAAAAATACAATAAAAATGGTATACTATATGTTGAACAATAATAGCAATACATTTAGACTTATATACTGCTTTACAATGCTTTACAGCCCTCTCTAACCAGTTTACAGAGACCACCTATTGCATCCAACAATCTGTATCCTATTACAACAAACAGTTATAATTCTCTCTATATAATTATCTAATATAAAGATTATTTGAGAATATATGTGTCCATATGTGTGGTTTATATAATATATGACCATCAGGCTTTTTTTAAACCTACTGTATTTTGTATAAATGAATCTCATATTTCTTTATATTTATCCATGCAAAATCTACTTCAATAGGCAATCAGTTCGTCGGTGGCAAGTTAATCAGAGCTTTAATCCACTGAATAAATGGGGCCATACATTTTATTACCACTGTTGCAATATCAGTGTTTTTGGCTATAATAATGGAATCCATTTACATTGTCCAGTTCTTAAATTCTATATAATACATGTGCAATTCAAGAGAATATTGTGAAAATTTTAGCTTTTGCTTCAATTCTTTAACATTAAAACTTATCAATGCCTTTTTTGCAGGCTGCTATGTGCTACATCCATATAGCTGCCCTTATTGCTGAATATCTGAAGAGAAAGGGTAAGATAAAGTACAATTAAAAGGTTTGATTGACTGGAAAACAGCAGGGTGTGAACAGAAGTGATTAAGAACCTACTTTATGCTATTTAGAAAGTTTTGTATTTATTCTTTAAATTGCTTTAAACAGATATTTCCCATTAAGTTAGCAGAAGTAAAAATATTTCATGTTGCAGAAATTTTGTATTTTGCTTAAAACTTGAGTTTCATATATTTATGTATTATTTTTCTTTTCTTTGAGATGAGAGATTTATTATTGTTCCATACCTTGGTTTAAATAAATAAACTTGCATGTATTAACTCATACAAATAACCAAATGCTAATAACATCTCACAATACCATAGGTTACTGGAAAATGGAAAAGATTTGTACCTCTCGTCTGTTCCTGGAAGATGCTGAACTCTCTGATAATAATATCTTACTAACAACTCACCCTGGAGGAAGTGAGTGTTCTAACCATGACCATTTATGGGTTGGACAATGTTTGAAGAACCCTATTTGTTATTTGAACCCCATATATTTAATGAAAGGAGACTTTTCAATAACCCAATCCTAAATCTGTGATGCCAGTCAGCTTGGAAAATGGAATTTTCACTTCATCCTGGTATCAATTCCCACAATCATAAACATATACAACAATGTCCATTGACACTGGGCATTGTAAGCAGTACCATTGAGATTCCGGAAACCTTGCTTGAGAACCAAGCGATGCTGCTGTTACATACTAGATTTCCAAACATCTTCCTTTGCTATCATTATTCTTTGTAAAATAAGTTTGGGAAAGGCTAATGAGCTGAAGGTTTTGTAACTTAAATTATATTGGGACCAAGTTTTAATAAATTATGGCTTCATATGAATCAAGATTAATATCAATACATACTTATAAATTTATAACCAGACTTAACTTAATGTATTCCATATTATATGTTCTTTATTCTATTGACAGATATTAATTTAAAAAACTTTATAAGAACTTTGAGAACACTACATATTTCAGAATCATAAATACTTTAACACATAATCCTTATCCTTTTGGGTCTCATTGGGAGGTTCTCAAATTATGCCTTTGGACAAGAAGATTTTTTTTTTCAAAATTAACAAATTATAACTACTTAGCTATAAACTACAGTGTTTACAAAAAAGTTAATAATATTGATAGGGTTTGTAATAAGCTATCATATGTAATGTCTTCATTTTTTAACTACAATTACTTAAATGATTGCTACTGAAGCATTGATAGGACTTTTTCTCTTGTTTGAAAAGGCTTGTTTTCTATGGGATGGCCAGCTTTTCTCAATATTACACCAAATATTAAAGAAGAAGGAGCAATGAAAGAAGACTCTGGAATGCAAGATACACCATACAATGAGGTTTGCAATGTTATTCTTCTTAATTGACCTGAAGTATGTTTTCTTCATAGTTTTCAGATATCCAGAGGAGCATAATTAGAGTCTTAATTACCTTTATTTCTTTTTTAAGGAATTGAAATTGCAAAAAAAAATAATCTTATTTTGCATCACGGACCTAATGTTCCTTCTTCACCTGCAGGACATCCTTGTGAAACAGCTGGAATTATGTGTCGACTATCTCTGGAAATGCGAAAGATACGAACTCATTGCTGAAGTTAACAAGCCAGTTATTGCTGTATTTGAAAAACAAAGAGATTTCAAAGTAAGCTGAACTAAAAATTAGGAGGAAATCACACTGAGAAAAATAGTATAGGATGTCAGTGCTTTAGTGACTTTGGCAACTACATTCACCTTTCTATATTAACTCCTTTTTATACTGTATATATATAATACATGTGCTATATGTATATTCAAAATTAGATTATATACAAAATCTACAATTAACTGACAATTAACACAACTGGCTAAAGTCTGATTGTGTTGTTCATGTGTACCTTTTTAATATGAGACTTTTAATATAAGACTGCATTATAAAAAGATGGATTTCCATCACACACAGGACAAGTAGGAAAATGTGATCTCACTTCCATACATTGTAGATGAAAAATGCAAATTTGATTTGCCCTCTCTAATTATTTATTCAGCTATTTCTTTACTTTATACCCACATTTATTATTTTCACAAAAAATTCAAGGCAGATAATATAACCAAAACAAATCTTCTTTCTTCTATTTTCTCCATAAGAACAACTCTGTTAGATGAACTAAGAGAGAATGACTGGCCCAAGGCCACACAGCCAGCTTTCCTGGTTAATGCGGGACTTGAATTCATGATCTCCTGCTTTCTAGCCTAGTGTTTTAACCACTATATCAAATTGCTCTTTATATGATTATATATAATTCATGCTTATAATTATAAATGTGTTTGAATATCTGCCTCCTAAATAATTCCTGATGTAGGACACTTAGCACTACCAATAAAAGCATTCCATATTTATTCTGCCTTCCCTTTTTAATCAGTATTAAAGTATTTTGTAATATGAGAAAAGATAGAAAAATTATTGAGAAAAAAAATGGGAATAATACAAGTGGAAGTTGATACATTGATACATGATACATGTTACATTGGGAAAGTTACCTTTAATCAGTTGATTTGAAAGCTACTAGCAATATTGAAAACAAGTTGGTTACATGACTTGGTTTAAATACCAGGGTTTTTACTTTAAAATGTACTTCATTCTATCACTCCAGAGGCTGTCTGAATTGTACTATGACATCCATAGATCTTATCTGAAAGTCGCAGAAGTTGTGAATTCTGAAAAGCGCTTATTTGGACGATACTACCGGGTGGCATTTTATGGTCAAGTAAGTGACTACTGTGGGTGAACTTTCAGCTAAACTACACATTTCCCAACAAATTTTCTTTTTAGAGAGAATGCAGTAAAAAATACATTCCACAAGTGAATAACATAGGGATTAGTTGCCTGGTATGCTTTCAGTATTAAACATTTATCTATAGTAAAGTTCATGGAGCAAAATGTAGATTTAGAGTCATATAAAAATAGAAGCAAAAGATTATCAGTGGCAATGGGCTGTAATAATAGTTTTAGAGGTTTCCTCACATTTAGGTTTTAACTTCTTCTTGCTGATTTGGCAATGTGCCATTGAAGTGAATAGACCTATGTGTAAATAAATATACACTAGATTAAGACCTAAGATTACATTATGACAAAGAATTAACTCCCTCCAGTTTTAGGTAACAGTGTATATTTATGATTAGTATCTTTTGATCTTCTGCAAGATATTAGGTAGTAAGACACAGAAGGTTATCCCAACTAAAATCCCACAATACAAATTTAAAAAATATATATAACCAACGTTATTATATACTATAGCCTAGAAAGGTAACAGACAAGTTCATATTTCTTTAAAGCAGAGTTCAGAAGGAGCCTCTTTGTTATAACATCTTGTCATAGTTTCATACTGTTGATTATTAAACAGATAAAAGGAAAATGAAGATAAGGCAGTGTGAATATACCATCATTATATGATGGTATCCAAAATCATTCCTGAAAAAAAGCTGCAAAATAATTAAAGACTTTTTTCTCCTAATTGATTTGAAATCCTTAATTTTATTACATATTAGTTTGTGTAGACATACTAGCTTTGCTTTCTAATTGGCTTCTGAATCTTGTAGCTTCATTGTAGAATGCTTACACATACTCCGTATTTCTGCCTATTTATTTTGGTTATAGTATGTGTATATGCTTGCTTCCACAAGACACATATGGGACAGCAAGTTCTTTGAGGATGAACTTTCCAGGGAAACATTATCTCTTTAAAAAAATGTATAAAATCAGTTCTGAATAATGTCTGCCAATTAGGTTTTAATGCAGAAATTTGCTCTTTTCCTCTTTTGAACTTATTCAAGGCTGTGGTAAGTTGTCTATTCTTTTGCATGCTGTTTTGTTTAATTCTTCTTACATCATCCTACTTGTAAGACCTTGGTTAACCTTGATTTCTAGCACTTTTTAATATTCACTGTAAGCGATGAAATAACATTGCTTTCACTCATTTATATACTGTGCTGCATCTAGCAAAATAATGCTTTTGTTCTGCTTCCTTGGATTATAAATATGTATCTGTTCCTGTGGCGTTCATGTACTTGAAGCTTAAATCTGTTCCCATTCTAATGGAAGCAGGTTCAGCTATGTGTTTCTTATCTGAAATGCCCACTGCAAACAGCCTTGCTCCATATGTCCTGGCAGAACAAGCAAGGCTTCCCAAACTGCAAGGTGTACCTCTCTTGGCAAAGCATAGGAGGTTAGAAGAACCTTTTAGCCGTACACTGTTACAATACATTCACCTTTCCCAAAATTTCAATCTATTATTTTAATTGCTCATTTGTCTCTATTTTGGTGTTTGGGTTTTTTAGGGGAGGTCTGTACATTAAAACTACACAGGCAGGTGTAATGGCAAAAAGTGGAAGAACTCCTGCAGTACATTATATTTCCTTTCAGTCACAATAAAAGTATATTACCTTTTCCCACATGCCTGATAGTTTTGCCCTTGGTTTACTACATTGAGGTATACGTATCAGGTTACCCCAAAAATGCAAACCTTTGTAATATACCTTTCATCACCATGAAAGCCTTTCAGTTGATTGAGCCACATAGGCTGGCAAGTATCAAGATGTGGAAAACAAATAGAATGACACTACATAAAGTAATTTGTATTTCCCTGCAACTAAATATGAAGGTCTATTCATATGTAGGTAGACAGTCTAGTCCTTGTGGGCATCCTTATGTGCACCAGTAGCTCTCCCAACACACTTTAGTATATTATCTTTCTTCAGAATTGAAAGATCTTATTTCATTAATTGGCTATAGTGGTTTACTTAAAAATCCTGTTACTTTGAAATTAACTTGAATGTGTTGACAACCTTTGTTCAATTAGTATCTTTATTTTTTTCCCTTGATCTATGTATTGTATTTTCATTATATAGTATATTAAGAATTGATCATTATCTAAAAGAACCTACAATTTTTATACTAAGGCAGGTGCTTCAAACTGTAACCTATGTCCCACCAGATCTGGCAAAGCAGGCATGCTCCAGGTCCCTCCATGAAACAGTATTACTTGGTGACTCCTAGGAAGTGTGTCTTCATAGTACTTCCCCATTAAAAACTTCCCTTCAGAGATACAGCTGCAGCTTTATGAATTTTTCATTAGGCCATGAAGATCTGCCTCCTCTCTCAGACTTTGGGGCCAGGCTGGAATTTTTAGAACTTTGACATGGATGTACATTCATTTTTATTTTTTTTTGCAATTAAAATAAGTCAGGCTTGATCTGTTGTGTTTTTGAATATGTTTTATCATTGTTGATGATTTCTACTTTTGATTGCTGCTCAGAGTTACCGTGAAACATGGGTGACTTTGGACTTCCAGTTTGAAGGGCTTCGGTGACAGACAGAAATCTGCGATCGTGCGCAGTTTCTGTCTGGGCTCGCCGCTGGAGTGCCCCGAGCTGGCTGGTTTCGGGGCTAAGCCACCCTGTAGAGGTGGTGAAGACAGGGGAGACCACCAGCAGGGTCGAGGAGAGCTGCATCTCTCCTCCTCAGCTGGCCATTACTCCCTTTCCCGAAGGCGGTTGCAGCGGTGGTCAGAAATGGCCACCACAAAGAAGAACTCAACTGGAAAAGAATATGCAGGAGGAAGATAAGAAGTAAAAGTTTTGGCTGACTGGGTTAAATTGTAAAAGCAACAACCAAGGTACCCTGGAATTTAAACTTACAAAAAATACATCTCTCCCAAAGAAGAGTTGGAAGCAGTGAAGGAAAGTGAAAAGGGAAAGGTTTGGCTTTTTTTAAATTTCTCTCTCCTTCCCTATACTGACAACTAAGAGACTTAAATAAGAAATCGGAAAAATCCGCTTTGACATCAATAGGCAATTAAGCTGAAAATAAAACAAAATGCCAAAAGGATAATAAAGATTTCTGGACATTAAAAACTTTCTTTTTCATAAGCAGGAAGGGAGAGAAAAAGAATAAGGGCAGGATCTGGAAGAGGGAGCAGACTGCCTGGAATTAAAAAGAATCTAAAGTAAAACTTCAACAAAACTTCTAAAAGATACATTTTAACTGAAACTTTGCAACTAAATAGTAACCCCAGGAAGAGAAAGTGAAAAAAAAAGAGCAAAAAAGAAACAGCTTGCGTGTATTTGGATTATTTGGTGATCTTTGGATTTTTGGTTATTTTATTTGAATGACTAAAATCAATCAGGTAGTTGTTTAAAAATTTATACAATGGCACCACTTCTGGATGAATTGAAAATGGAACTTAAAAAGTACAAAGAAGATGCACACGAAGGGAAGGGTTCTTTTGGCTTCATTTTTCAATTCTTAGAAATGGAGATTTGGAATTATGAGAAACAACAAGAAAGGAAACAAGAAGACTGGGACAAAGAAGAAGCCATCTTTAATGAACAAGTAATTCTATGTGGAGAAGAAAAAGAAAAGGGGGGAAAGAGAATGGAGAATTTAAGACTTAAAAAAACAACCAAAGAAAAGAAAAATAATTTGAAAAATAAGTATAATACTAGAAAGCAACAGAAAAGGGGAATACAGAAGAGAGAAATAGAGATAGAGAGACAAGGGGGTAAAAAGGGGAGAGATAAGAAGAGAGGGAAGAAGGAAAGGAAAAGAAGTTACAAAGGACCGGGGCAAGATATAGAGAAACAGGACCTATTTAGAGATAATGGGTGAAAATCTAACTGAAAAAGGGATTCTGTAAAGGTACATAAGATTGTATTGTTATATTAGTAATAGAAATAACTTTAGAAAACTGGAAACAACATATGATTAAAATGGGGGATAAAATAGTTAGTGTAATTTAGTGAAATGTTTGTGAATAAAATAAGTGAAATAAAATAAATGAGAAAATTGAATTAGGAAGGAATGGGAACATTTTAATTAATGTTTTATAAAATATAAGTGAAGGGGGGGGAATTAACTATGGAAAGCTAATAATTGTTCTCATAGAAGTATGATATTTAATTGAAAAGTAATGTTAAAGATGTTAAGACTTTAATGAATATTAATATTAAGGATAGAATTGAATTGGAATGGAATGTTGTTTTAATTATATACATTTATATTTTTTTCCTTTTTTTTAAAGAATACAGTGTGTATTTTAAGAATGTACCAAGCAGAATCCGAATGAAAGTTATGTATTATATTGAATGTTACAACTTCAGGGCAAAGATATAAAGGCGTCATACTCCAATCAGAAACTACAGGAGAAATTTTATTTAATGAGAAAAGATAATAGATAATTGAAACAGGACAGACAAAAAATATAAATACAATGATTTGAATTGAGATGAGATAATTAAAATAAAATTGAGAAAATTAGAAGAGGGGAGAAGCTATGCAGAAAATGTAAAATAGTAATAAGAAATGGAATAGAATATAAAAATGAGCATGAACCTGAATTTTTGTCTGTACGAAGAAATATAACCCGGGATTATGCTGCTTTCAGAAAAGATGTTTTATTTGTATTTTTTTTTCTCTTTGTGAAAACTCAAATAAAATTTACAAAAAAAAAAGAAAAGAAAGAAAGATAGGTGACTTTATAAATTAGTTCAATTCTGAAGATCAATAGATTTTCTGCATTCACAGCAATACTTTGCACCAACTTAGATCAGGGTATTGAACATCATGTAGATCAAGGCTGTCAAACTCCCGGCCAGTGGACCAGATGCGTCACACAATGGCCATGGCCACACCCAGTTTAGCAAAAGGGAAAAAAGTTCCAATACATCACATGAGGCTGCCATGAGTTTGACAGCCCTGATGTAGATGAAC